TTGTGAAAGTTTTAGACATATTTTTATATAGTAATTATTAATTTATTATAGTAAAGTATGATTTAATATATATTATATATATTAGTATATCTTTTTCTATAAAAGTTAGAATTTAGAATAATTAAAAATTTCTCACATTTTATTTTTTTTATTAGATTTTTTTAATTAATCAAAAAAAAAAATGTATAAATATTTTTTTTTTATTCACTAAATTTACAACTCACAAGTTTAAAATAACTTTATTAGTATTTACAAATTATTTCATTAATTTTCATTTATACATTCATTTAATAAGTTATTAACATTATAATTCAATATATCTCTACTATTTGTATCATCAACAGTTTCATTATCTGTTAAAATAATATTTTTATTATTGTTTTTCTTATTATCAATAAAATTATCATCTAAATCCTTAATTATATTAGGATCCCAGAAACTCTATAGACAGGTTACCGTTAAAATAGGTAAAGCTATAAGGAAAATTTTTTGAAGATCTTGCTATATTTAGTTAAATTAAATACATAAAAGGAATGTCACACCAATTTTATTATGAATTTTTTCCTTTTTTGATCAGTTAGCCAATAGGATTCTGGGTAAAGTTCATATAAAATTTTTGGTTTTTTAAAACAACCTTTATATATAGTTTTCGGGATCCTGTTATATTACCGATATTTTTTAAAATTAAATCATTTGATAAATCAATTTTATTTTCAATTCAAACATTTTCGATTAAAATAATTACATTATTATAGAATTCCCAGACATCTCTTATAGAACTCATAACTGACTTTTTGCCAAAAAAGATCTAATTTGCTCTTTTTTTATTTTCCATTTTTTGCAATTATCTTAGTATCCAGTTATCTGATTTATGCAGATTTTTTTTATTTTGTAGAGCTCGATAAGAGCTACAAAACAAAAAAAAGTTTGTATAAATTGAACCACTAATTGCTGAAATAATCGCAAAAAACTGATTTTTTTTTGTGAAATTTAGGTCAATCTGCAAAAAAGTTATCCTCTAAGTTGTATATGTAATGTCTGGAGTCCTGTTATTATTTGAAATAATTTTATCATTTATTGTTCTTGTATAGGTTTTTCTATACATAAGGCCATTTCAACTTGATTATTTGTTTAACGTTCACCACCCCCCTCAATTTTTTTAAAAATTTGAAATCTAATAAACACATATTATTAAATACCCCCTCTATTTTTGAAAAAATTTAAAAGCTAATAAACATATAATGATAAATAATCCCTTCTAAAATTTTCAAATTTTCCTATGTTTATTTATTTAATTTGTTTAACTTAAGCCTCCCTCTTCCCTAATTTTTTCAAAAGGCCTGGACATTAAACAAACAATTAAGTTGCAACAGTCTAATTTAGATTTATCAAATGAATTGTCTTCATATTCATCATCTTTTTCTTTCTCTGCATTATCAGTTTCAGTCAAAACTTCGGTAACTTTCTAAATTAATTCAATATCATTTAATTTTGATTTGTTTTTACTTCTTAACTAAAATACCAAATTTTTTTTTTGCATTAGATTTTCAATAAGTAATCATTTTACACATAGATTCTAAAGTCTCAATACCTAATTGTAAATGATGCTTATTGGTAAGCCAACCTAAATTAGAAAAACCTTTCTCATAGGACGTGGAATTTGGACAGATTGAAAAAAAGATGTAAAGCAACTATAAATAAAGATTCTAGATCAGAATTAATTTCAATTAAATTCTACTAATGATTAATTAGTTCTTGAAATCCATTACCAAATTTTAAATCAAATGGTGGTTCTTTTTTCCTATATTAGTTCAATTGTGAACATAATGTGTGTGATTATTCAAAATCAAATTCTAAATTTTGACTAATAAATAGAGTTGTTTTAGTTAATCTTGCATAAATATCACTTTTTAAAGGAACGTCTAATAAAGTATTTGTTAATATAAGTAAATTTCAATCTTGAACTTTAAATTAATTATTATTATTACCTTGAAATAAAGGATGTAAATAGAAACAAAAAAGATATTTATCATTGTTAAATTCCTCAAATCGCTTATTCATTACATCATAATAATAGTTATGAAAGTTATAATAAAAACTTTGTGGCAAATTTTTAAGAACTGCTCCAAGTTGAGTTAAATTTAAATAACAGTTTGCTAATAAAGTTGCACTGCTGAATTCTAAAAAAAGAATAGCCTTTTGTAATGGGTTTAATACAAAGACCAAAATTTCAGGATCTGAAAAAAAAATTGCATTCTTAAATAATTAGCTTTATACAATTATTAGTTAAAATATTCCTATACTTATTTGCTATTTAAAAGTGTAATAATATTTTTTTTTTTTTTTGCTGCAGTTCATATAATTCTTTATTAAGATTTTGAGAAAACAAGTTTTAATATAATACACGTAGAACAAATCAAGAATTTTAATTAAACACTAAGAACTAATAAACATCCTGCTAATTCATGATGAAGTAATCATATGTGCACTGTCAGTGAAGGATTTAGACTAGAGGAGTAAGTACACCTTGAAGGCATCCTTTCTTAAAAGGGATTTCCTCCTCCTAGTCTACATCATGAATACTCTAAAGACTCACTGCTATTGCAGACGAAACTTGAACTCAAACAAAAAAAAAAAAGAAAAAAAAGGAGTAATAACAGAAAAGTCAGAGTAAAAAAAAAAAAATTAAAAAAGGTTTAAAAAAAAAAATATTAATATTCTACAAATACAAAGTCACTATAATGTCTCTCACATTTTACTTATAGCCATCAAAACAAAAAAGTGTAATAATATTAAATTAAAATTTAATTAATTTATACATTAAATATTTTCAATAATTAAATATTTTATTACTTTTTCAAGAACTGGATTTAAATTTAAAACATAATAATCATCATACTAATTTTTATACATGATTAGCTAACCGGGAATTTTGCGTTCACTTATTCCCCGGTTTCAATATCATAGACAGCCGAGAAATTGCTATTTTTAAGAACTGTTTAAAACGTCTTATAATAACTTAATAATACCAAATAACATGTTTTATTTGAAATTTTATTTGATTAATATTTGACTAATATTTCCATTCTATTTTATAAAAAAATATAATTTCTAATAAAAAACTATTAGTCGCATTTAAAAGTAATATTAATGTTAATATTACTACAATTTTCTACAGAAATCTTTGGAATTTTTGGTTTTTGACACTTTGAATCATCATCCAACTCATTTTTTTCAACATAGCTAGTATTGCTATATTGTTCAATCAAATTAGAAGCTTTAGTAAATCCTAGCAAAAAGAAAAATATTATGGTTAGTTCTGAACAATTATGACTATTAAACTTACGAATTGTTTAACAAAATAATAGATATTTATATATATACTTAATTGCTTTGCATAATTAGTTGAATCCTTTAATGCCACATCTTTGGTAGGAATTAGAAGAGAAGCATTATCTCATTTACGCTTGATAGATTGATGCTGATAGGCAGATACACCTGCAATTAAGGTTGCTTATCGAAACCTAAAAGTTTAGGCAAGATGGCGTTTCGCCGAAAAGCGAAATTCTGCCGAAACTATATTAAAGTTATATTAAAAAACTGGCGAAACTTTGGAGAAAGGTTAAACTGCTTAAACTTATTATAAATTCCTAAACTGCTTAAACTCTGCCGAAACTATAATAAATCTATAGTAAAATTTTGATGAAACTAATTGTAGGATTTTGAAGAGGTTTAGACAAGCAACTTTACCTGCAATTGTTTTATGTCGTGAGAAGGTCATTTGCTCATCAAGTGTAACACCGGACTCAACAAGATTGTAAATGCCCGTTGATCGCATTGAATGATTGGTAATGCTACGATCTTTAAAATTCAAACCAGAATTAATACATATACTACGCATCATTGTGTCATGTGATCCTTTTCCTAGCTTTGTTGATAAATACCATTCACCATGATTTATATTTTTGGGTGTATTGATTGATACAAAGAAATAATCACCCTCAACATTATTAGAACGTTTAGTTAAATATTTTTTGATATCTGCAACAGGAGTATACAAGGACCCCGAATAATACTAATATAACTCACAAATGATCGGCATGCATTTACTATTAACTCTACGCAACTTTTTTTTCATAGTAACGCTACGCAAATCCAAATTTTAGTTCAAAAAAATTTTTGTTACTAATATAATTCATTTCACATTTTTTCTATTAAAATATTAATAAAATCATGCAAACCTCACCATTTTATATTAAAATAGTGTGTTTCGCACTTTTTTCTATTAAAATATTAATAAAATGGTGCGAAAATCACCATTTATTTGTTAAAATGGTGCGTTTCGCACTTTTTCTATTAAAATATTAATAAAATGGTACGTTTCGCACTTTTTTATATTAAAATATTAATTAAATGGTGCGAAACTCACCAATTATTTATTAAAATTGTGCGTTTCGCACTTTTTTCTATTAAAATGTTAATAAAATGGTGCGAAATTCACCATTTTTTGTTAAAGTAGTGCATTTCGCACTTTTTTTTTATTAAAAAATATTAAAATAATGCGAAATGCATTACATTTTGTTACTATATACAATTAATTACCAAAATCCGTAATATTGCAAATTTCATAAATATATTACGGACCCATCCTTAATGGTTTTGCGCAACTTAATTTTTATCAATATTATACAATTGATCAACATATAATGCAATATATTTATAAACTCTACGCAAACGTGATATGTGAGTTATCCCAAAATTGACTGATCTACGCAAACTCAATTTATGGGTTTAAAAAGTAATTTCATATAAACTCTACGCAAACCTGTTTGTGAGTTATATCAGTATTATTCGGGGTCCTAGTATATATAAATGCTTTCTGATGTATCAGGTGGTATAAAACTAGTACCAGATACTGCATATGGATCTTTAATTCCTCCTGCGTGGTTCTTTTCTTTGGGTAATTCAAGCTTTATTCCACCATCATCCATCTCAATAATTTAAGAAGCTTTCAATCGTTTGGCATCACCACCTCTTAAACAGCACAATAAAGTTAACCATATCCACACTCTTCGCAGAAGACCTTTAGGAGTATCTGTTTTAGTGACAGGTGAGTTAAGTATAAATTTAATTTCATCAATTTCCAATGGATCTGATTGTTTTCGATTATTCTTCCCTTGATCAGCAATTGATTTCATACGACCATCTAAAGTTTTATGTAAACTTTTAAATTGAGAAATATCAAATAAATTCACAACTCTAATTTTCTCAAATATTTCAGATATTCCTCGTGCCAAGGCACAAAATCCAGTATAAAGAGATGATGCTTTATATTCATGGCCATTAGATTGTTGTATCTCAACTAAAAATTGTTCCAACTGATCAGATAATGTTTTATTATCCAGCTCAATAATTTCAATTGAATAACCACGAGCTTCACGAAATTTAATAAATAAACTCATCCACACATTGTTAGATTTGTCTGTATTTATATTTCTTGATGCGTTCTGAAATTCTAAAATCGTCTCTTTAGTTGATGAAACAAATCGGTTTGCCATTGTTTTTGCTTAAAACAAAGAAAAAGTTGAGTCATAAGAAAGGGAAAGTAAATAATATAAAAAATAAATTTAATAATGTAGCAGGAGAAGGATGAGTTGAATAATATCAGATATGGAAGAAAAAGAGAAGTGTGGGAAGAAAAATAGAAGCGTGAGAAGAAAATAAGACAAAAAAAGTTTAAAATAGTTAAAATAGTTAAATCACGTGCTATTTGATGAGTAACACGCTCCAGGGGATTACCCATTTATTTTATGGTGTGGAACATCATGGTTTTTTTCTCTTCGGGAAAAAAACCATAATATTCCCATCACCCTATGAAATAAATAATACGAATTTACTGATTCACTTGAAGTAATCCATCTAGTTATACAATACGATTTAAGACTACTACCGTCTTTAATGCCAGATTCTTTAATTAATTTTTAAAATTTACCATTTATAATTTAATATTTAAATATTTAATATTGAAATAAAAATTATTTGCAAGATTAATAATATCTCTTATTAGTCACGCATATGTGAAGTGCAAAAAAAGGTGGTTAATATATTTATTCTACGAAGTAGTCTATCAGTCAAATTGTGGCTGACTATATATCACATGCAATTAAATTAATACAATGTAATATATACTGAAGACCCCGAAAAATACATATGGAGGTCATAAATGATCAGAAAGATTTTGGCCTAAAATAAGCAACTTTTCAGAACCGGAATTATGATAATGCTGGCCTGTATCAAAACAGACAATAAAATTAGGCTGGCACTATCTAAAAAAGGTAAGATTTTCATGAAAATTTAGGTTCTTTTTAAGCAAACTCAAATGTGACCTTTTTATGTATTTTTCGGGGTCTTATGTATTGAACACTTTTAATTTTTAGATATTTTTATTAATAATCACTCTTACTTTTTTAATCTTAGCTGCATTATTTGATACTATTGTAGAAATCCAATCAGGTCCTATTTTTTCAATGATCTCTTCAATTTTTGAAGCTAAATACTTAGCGGTATGTGAATCCAATGATAAATCTGAGATATTCGTGATGAAATAAGAAGAATAAAATTTCAAATGGACTGATGATGTTTAGAAATAGTCAGAAGTCCATTTATCCAGAATTTTAACGATAAAAAAAATAAGAAATTTACAGTTAATATTATAATATAGTAGAAAAATAAAATAATATAAGTAATTACTTACTAAGAAGTCAAATTGTGCTGATTCATAATATCCTCATTCATCTTTACATAATTCAGTTTCAAGTAAATATCCAGATAAGTATTTCTGTATTGAAGGATCATATCCAGTATTTAGTTCTTTTAAAAGATTAATAAAAAAAGGGCTTTACAATTCTATATACCATTTCATGATAATTTCACAATAGCATGGTTGATTCAATTTATTTTTGCTTCTGAAAGGTTAGTTGAATTATAAAAAGCCATTATAGTAATTTAACTGACTATAGACTTATTATCAACCTTTCTTTTTTTGTTAGAGGTATTTTTCACAAATTCTAACTTTTTCCATATACAGTTAGACCTCTATATAATCACCTAATCAGTTCCGCAAAAATCAGTGACTACATAGAAGCTTTTACTATGATGTGATTATACAAAGGTTTTTTTATATAGTAATTATATATATTGGTATTTCCCAAAGGTGTGATTATATAGAAGAATTTTATATGATGTGACTATATGGGATGTGATTATATAGAGGTTTGACTGTATTCATGTAAAATAAAGTTGCAATACATTTAAATAATGATTTGCAAAATATTCCTCTAAGATAGGTGTTTCATTATGTTTTCATGTTTTTGAATAATATTTATACTCAGCTTCAAATTTTTCAGAAGAAACTGCAATTTTTTTAATGAAGTACTGCCAGAACCCGAACATTACTAAAACAACTCAGATCTTGTATAACTAAAATTTAAAAATGTGATATTTTGGTCAATATTATATCTAAAAAGATGAATAATATATCAAAATGTTCGTCTTGTTGAAACGAATCTAATATATCAAAGATACTTAAAATCCAATCACTGAATTCTGAGATAGCAAAATTTGAGGCTAAATTTACATATAACTTTATATATTTAGAACAGAAATTAATTATAAGGTTTATACAAATTCAGATCTGAATTTTTTTAGTAATATTCAGGTCCTGTACTGCCATATTAGTTCTAGAGATCATCTATCTGTGTATTTTTCCTTTTCAATTTTTTGAATTTCTAGATTGATAAGTATTATTAGATCCATTTAAAGAAATAATTTGTAAGAAAAATTAAAATATAAAAAAAAATATAAAAAAAATTTTTTTTAATAAAATAATTTTGCGTACTTTCTATTTATTATAAATAAATTTATATTTTTACAAATATATGTCATGCTAAGATTTGATCTGAATAATGCAAATAATATATTAATATATACTGAATATTAATAAATTTAATATAAAAAAACATATTTATTTAAAAATATAAATGTATAATATAACGAACCTGCTATTGTATTAAATAACGTAGTTTTTGCTCAGAAATTATTTTTGTTTAACTGCAAAGTCTATATGCAAATAGTTTTGACTGGTAGTCTGATATATTAAATAAAGTTAACATATACTGTATGTGTTGGCATTTGGCAGTGTTGCTAATGTAATGTATTGCTTAAGCAATATGAGCAATATTCCATTAAATTTAAAAGTATATTCAATAAATTTTTATATCAGATATTTAATATCCTGATTATATATCAAGATTATTAAGATTATCAAGATCATTGCATTTTTATTGGCTAAACATGTTACTACAGTTTCGCTATTTTGCATAGTTTCAACATTTTGATGTTGTTAAAATATTTTGTCACTAATTTAAACATTACTAAGTAAAGTTTGATATTTCGTGAAATTTCAAATGAGTTTTGCCTGGTAACTTTATAATGTCTGAAATTCTGTCTTTATAATATTACTTTATTACTATTATTTCTAATTGATGATTCTTCAGTAAATGAAATAATACTAATTAAAAATTTAATAAAAGAATTTCAAAACAAAGAGGAAATTTTAACAGAAATTGCTGAAACACACTGGTCGAAATCAAAACTTTCGACCGTTAAGAGCTTTCGGCATAATTTTTGCCGATTGGTCATGTGATTCGTCACATTTTTTGACCAATGGCAAAAATCGGTAAAATCAATGAAAAAAAATCGACCAATAACTTTTTGGTCGATATTTTGTAATTATGTATCACTTGCATTACTCTATACTACTATATATTAATTTTATTTAAACTTTTTTTTTCTCACACTTTCGTCTCCCCCCTTTCCACTCACTTTACTTTTCCACACACTCCTTCGTCACCCTTTCGTCTTCCCCCTTTCTACTCACTCTTTCGTCTCCCTTTCCCTCTCACTTTTTCGTCTTTCCCTTTCTTCTTTCTTTCGTCTATTCCCTCTTCCTTCTTTTTAGGTGACGCCTCAGCTCTTTGGATACGGTATTTCGGTAAGTTTTTAATTTTTTTTATTTCCCTTGTTTTCGCCTTAATAAACTAATTTCAAATTTTTTTTTTTTAGTTATTCGGCTTTTAGACGCGTGGGTACTTCGGTAGGAGAGTTAGATTTTTTTAAAAATTTTATTTAACGAAACGTTTACTAACGTTTTCATTCTTTTTTTTATAGGTTCAAGACGCCCTCGAAGTATAATAGATATTAGGGTTTAGGGCATAAATTGGTCGATGGTCCAATAAAGAATCATAGATTGAAGCATCTACCGAATCCAAAGGGGCATAAGCATTAGCCCAACGCTCAGGTAAAGAAGAAGATTCACTGGTGAAAGGCAGGTTAATAGGATCATAATTTTGAAAATGGTTAACAGCTTCAGACATAATGTCTTTCGCATCAGTGACCAAACGTGGTCGAGTAGGGTGATCAATAAATACACGATCTAAAACAATACATTTCTGGGTTCTAGAAAGGGATGAGTCAATAAAGGAAGAGATATCTGACTCAAAGTTCTCATTACATCTATCAATATGTGCAGTAATGGATATTTCTTGAAATTCACGTTCTTTCAAAACATGCAAACCACGCAACGTTTTAGAAATGTGAGAGAGAGAAGAAAATAAAGAGGCAAAGGAATCCGAGGTGCAAAAAGCTAGCAAATTCGGTAAAGGAGGAGCGTCCACAAAAATACTTTTGTATCGAGCAAGGATAGCGGCAAGTCTTGGAAGATAATGCGACCATTTGGATTCGTGCACAAAGGAAAAATCATCAGGTCGTCGAGTAAGAGACCGTATGGTGGCAGTAACTTTCGTAACAAAGCGATAATCTTGAGTAAGCAAATCCAAGTCCTTTGGGACCTTGGGAGTGAATTGATTTGAGACATGACTATTAGGGAGAATCTTGATCGCAGCCTTAACAATCCGAGAATGAAGAAATTCACATTTTCGATTCAGATGCCAAGACTTAAAATCATCAAGAGAAACATCACAAAAGGAGTCTAATAGAGTGGAAAAATCATCCCATTGAGAAGCAGACACAAAATCCAGCGTGAAAACTCTACGACGATTTCGGTTGAGCTGTTTAGCACGAGCGCGCTTGGTGAAAGAAAAGATTAAGGATGCATCAAAATAAGAGATGACCGGTAAATTTCGAAGTTGGGTTAATTTTGAAACTTTAAAAAAAATGATTTACTAATCGTTTCTTTCTTCTTTTTGTAGTCTTTCACTTCAGGCTGATGGATCAGGTAAGTTTCGAAATATTTCAAAACTTTTTGAGATTTTTTTTTATAAAAGAATCGGTTTGCTAACTGTTTCTTTATTTTTTTTGTAGATTCTTCTTCGTACTATTATTGAGAAATAGACGTGTAAGTTTCGATGTGTGTTTCAAAACTTTATTTTTTATTATTATTAAAGAAACGGACTAATCATTTTCTTTATTTTTTTTTGTAGGTTTCCATTAACGAATTGGGGTAATGGGTAAGTTTCGAATATATTTCAAAACTTTAATTTTTTTTTATTGAAGAAAACATTAAACTAATTGTTTCTTCTTTTTTTTTATAGATTTCCCCCTTTGGACTTTATTGGATGGGCGGGTAAGTTTCGAATTTTTCGAAACTTCAAGTTTTTATTAAAGAAACGAACTAACCGTTTCTTTTTTTTTTGTAGGTTTCCATTATCGATTTGGGGGTAAGTTTCAATATTTCGAAACTTTATTTTTTTTTATCGAAGAAACATTAAACTAATTGTTTCTTCTTTTTTTTTTGTAGATTTCCCCTTCAGACTTTATTGGATTGTGTAAGTTTCAAATTTTTTGAAACTTCAGTTTTTATTATTATTAAAGAAATGAACTTACCGTTTCTTTACTTTTTTTTGTAGGTTTCCCCTTCGGATTTTATCAGATCGGGTAAGTTTCTTTTGAAACTTCAATTTTTTTATTTAAAAAATAGGTTACTAACCATTTTCTCCTTTTTTTTGTAGGTTTTCTACGGATTTTTATCAGGTTATGTGAGGATGATGGGTGGATGGTGGATGGTGGATGGTGTATATAGATGATAGATAGCTATATATTAATTTAATATGTAATTTTTAATAAAACGAATTAATAAAATTTAATTAATAAATTATTATAAAATTAAAATCAGTAATCAGTTAAATGTACAAAAATCGTTAATAAATTATTAGGTTTATTAACAATCGTCAATTTGATTTTACCGATTTGTTGCCAATTTTACTGATCGATTTGTTGACAAGTGGCAGGCGTTACGGTGCAAATCGTTTATAAAATTAGTTGCCGATTTTTTTGGTACTAATCGGCTAAGATCAGACCAAATTTCGTCTAACATTCGGCAATTTAAAATTTTGCCAAAATGGACTATTCCGACCAGTGACAATATATAGAAAATATTGCAAGTTTAAATTTATAAAATAATATGAATAAGGATTTATTAATAGATGCTTGTAAATAAATAACAAATTTATTTAATTATATATATTTATAATAGCAGGTTTATCTTAATATATTAGATAACAATGGTAAAATAATTTTTAATTTATTATTTAAACATTGAAAATATCACAAGACTTATAGTCTTATACTTTGAAAAAAATGGTCTGGTTACAATTTTAAGAAAGAGACTATAATTTATTAAAATTAATCTATCTATTACTAGTAAAATAGTTGTATAAGAAAACTAAAACTAATTGGTAATAAACTGAAATTTTGGCAAAAAGAATTTAGGACAAGTATTACTATTGAGCTTTATAATTTAAAAAGTTTATTAAAATTGAATTACTGAATGTTAAAAAAATAAATTGCAAAAAATAATTTTAAATTTTAGTAAAAAGGTATGATTTTAATAAAAAATACTTTATAACTATATATTAGATTTTTAAAATCTTTATTTAAATAAATCAAATTTATATAATATAATCTATTGGTTTTTTGTTTTATTTATCAAGATTATATAAAAAATCATATAATTGTATTATTTTAGAATTTGGATTACTTTTATTTTTTATTTACTTCTTTAGTATAACTACAAATCACCTATCTATCTTTAACTATAAAGTCTATAAATTAAGAATATACCAATTAAATATGTAATTAGTAATAAATAAATAGTTCACTAACAGATAGAATATGTATGGGATTTCTTAAAATAATAAATAGTATAGAATTTAAAAAAATAATAATGTAGAAAATATATTCAATTGTTTGTTTTTTTTATTTCTAATGAATTTCATATATTTTGCAAAAAATAATAATATACAAAAGATTTTATTAATAATGATAACTATTTAAATTATTCTAATTTACCTTTTTTTAAAAGTAATGTAATTAATGATATTGATTTAAGTATAAATTTTTATAATTTGTGAGATATATACTACTATTATAAAAAATAATCTTTTGGGTTCAAATTACATTTCTTTACATTAAATACTGATGCTTATTTTTAATATTATTTAACCCATATATGATAATAATTTAATATAACAGCCTATTTTTACTATTGATGTTTAATAAGACAACTAGCCAATTCGTATATATTAATTAATATAATAATTAATACTTATTCATAAATAATCATCATCATTATCTGAATTTAATGAATCATATGATTCTTCAGATATATAATTCTCTAATTCTTCTATAGGATGATTAATTGTTCTAGTTATAAAGGTTTTAAATTAGTTAAATTAGTGCAAAATGAGATAAATCAATGAACTAATTATATCGATAAACTTACCTAATTGTTTCCTTTTTATCTACAGTCATTTGTTCAAATTTTTCAGATAACGTGTGTATTTGAAATTTCTAACATTTAAAATATATTAGAAATGTTTATAAAATGAATATTCCAAACATAATCAAGACAAATAAAACCTGTCGTAGCTTCTCTTGATGCTTTTGCAACTTAATTGATTCTTCAATTGAGATTTGATTTGTTTTGACACTTGAACTGTAATATCGACCATTCTTTTTATTTACAAGTGAGGCTGGAGTTATCGCATAAGATTTTTTGTTATTATCATCAATGCTCATCTTGCTTACTAAATCTTCCAATTCATTAATAGGATTTGAAAGCATTGATTTATGTTTCTCAAGTAATTCGTTTATAAGAATATTTCTTTCCCGAAGTTTCTGTCCTTTATCTGGCAGCTTTGAAATAATATCCCTGTAAATAGTAAAATGAAAGTATAAAATCATAAATATTCTAAAAAAAAAAATCAAACTAATAAAAAAAAGGTATATTACTCATTTTCAAGCAATTTGTTGTTTTTATCTAACTTTTCTCTCAGCTCCTTTGGTGTACAAGCTGTAAGTTCTTTTATATCATTAGCATTTTTGGCTTTTGTATTAAATATAGATCGTTGTGTTGAAGACGATCCCTTATTGTATGAGATAGATTTCGGAACTTCTACCATTTCAAAAGAGATTTGAGCTAAGTATTTTTTTTGTGACTAATTTAAACCATACCTTTCTTCGGCGGTGACATTTTCGAAAAGGGGTGTATTTATTTAGAACGGAGGAAAATTATATATATATAACAGACAAAGGATTATGTAATCGAACGAAAGATCGACAACAATTGCTAATTCGATTTTGAAATGTATTTATTATGAACTAAATAGGTATTTTTTGACGCAATTTAGATGCGTTTTATATGATCACGTGAAATTTATTGTTTACAGTAGGATCGGCAAACGGGAGCTGCTTAAATTATCACATAATAATTTTTATAGGTTTTATTTACGCATCCAAGAACTATTAGGCTACTAACCAACTACAAAATTTAACTATTTGTCAACTGTTTTTCATATAATTTTTCTTGTTTTTCTGTTTGCCATATTTGATACTTCAAAAGATAAAATAATGATAGCATCTTTTTAGCGATGGCTTTTCTATATAATATTTATTTTGCAAATATATAATTTTTTTTACTATGTATATGTATCAAGTTTTTTTGGCTTTTATATTCTTTAATTTTTATTTAATTTATTCCTTCCTTTTATTGTATTTGGAAGTTAATTTATAAATTTGTTTCTTTGTACCTCTAATTTGTCTATATAACTAATATAAGTATAAAAATAAATAGTAATACATTCAATGTTATCTTTATTTTTCAACTTCTTTTATAAAAGAATACTGTATAAATAGTATTTAAACTAGAACTCTAAATCTGATCCAATGAGTTAAATAACCTAACAGGTTAGTCCACTAATATTAACCTCAAATGAATTTAATACATTATTTGATTTTGCAATATTAATTAATGAAAATCAGACTATAATGTTAGAAAAAAACAATGTTTTACATGAATATTATAAAATTTGAGAAAAAAAAATGAATTTATATTGCTATTTTATTCAACCTGTTAATAATTGATATTATATCAACAGTTATCAATTTTCAAAAAATACATGCCTGAAATAAATCATTGTTTCTTTAAGTAAGGGTGGAGTGATTTTACTTTCAACTTGCGTGACAAACCTAAAGTAGGTGCTTTACTTAAGGGTCCTTTGGAAACCATTTGGTTAACAAATATAAATAGAAAACAAGATATCTAAACTATTACTAACCAGAAAAAGGCTTTGAATCTAAATAATTAAAAAGTAATTATTATTTTTTCTTTTTTTAATATTTGATGTATTTGCGTATCACTTTTCTTACCAGAAGTAAACTTTGGTGTTAGAGGATTTGATTTCCCTATTGCTTTCCTCTGTTGTAAAGGAGAAATTCAATAAAATTTCAATTATTTAGATTCATTAGGCATTTACTTACCTTTAATCCTCCCAAGGCGTTTTTAGTTTGAAGTGGTGTAGAAATATTTGTTGTTTTCATTGTTGAGACAATTTGTTTCTTGTCCTTGCGTTTTTTAGCTCCGTCATTTTCTTTTGCCGGTGCCGACTTTTCTTTTCTTCCCGTATTTAGACTCTTCTTTTTTGATTTACTTTTACAACCTTCTTCATAATCACTTCCATCATCAGTATCATCAAAAGCAAATGTATCATCGTCTGTATCATCATTTAGTTTTACAGCCGGCGTTTTTTTGTTTTGTTTGTCTTGAAGTTTAAAGTTGTTATCACTTTCTAAGTTCTTGTCTAAATCGGGAGGATCGCTTAATTCGCCATCGTCAAATAAATCTGCCAGATCAATAGGACATATTAATAGAAATTTACCGTAAATAGGATAAATTATACGAAAATGGTAATTACCGTCGCCTTTAACACTATCAATAGTAGGCGTTTTTTCTACAATAACTACCATATTTACTTCTTGGGCCCCTTCATATCTCTCATTAAGTTCACTTTCTTTATTATCTTTGTTTGATGTTCTAACGTTAATGAAATAAGGATATGAAATAATTCTGTGGTAATTAATAATAATTATTATTAATTATTATACTTGCCCAGATTTATTTTTACCCAAACTTAGTTTTTTCTTTTTCTTCGTTTGGGCATGTTCCAATGAAGCCACGTTCTCGCCATTACGAGGCGTTTTTTGGGTGGACATACGTGGTGAACCTTGTAAAGAGTCTTATATATTATATAAGTTAAAACCGCGTCGTAAACTAGTTTGGCGTATTTATACACGTATTTTCTCCATTCTACTTACTATAATCTGGAGAATTTAAGTTATTAACAGCGCCAGTTGGGGTAACGTAGTTGTCGTTGTAATCAACACATTTCCGTTTTCTTTAAAATAACAAGGAAAATGTATAAACACGTCGAGTAGGAACATTTGGATTAAAAAGAAAGAATACATAAATACATTTCTGCTACCTTGTTGATCTTCTGACTGACTCCATATCTTGTAAATATGAAAATAAAGCACGAAGGTTTTAGAGTAGTTTGAGTAATACTCGTGTCAACTTGATATTAAAGCAACTTTACGCGTTCTTTGATGACTATTCCTGTGTATCACATATGCAGGTCGAAAGTGACACAGATAAAAGTTGATTTATTTAAAGCATTAGGTATATGACGCGTTTGTAGCAAACTTTACGCGTTTTTCTCATAAAACAATAAAGGTATGTCTTCTCTGTCTATTGAAATAGCTTTAAAGGGGATGGAAGCTTTTAGGCACATTCTTCAGCTAAATTCGCGGCTGAATTATGAGCAAGGTTCGAATAAGAATGGTACGCACGTATTGTTTAATATTTCTCTCAACGAAAATATAAAATAAAATTTGGGATTATAGTATGATGACAATTCGATATTTAATTGTTTAGGCCAATTTTCAGACAGTTTCGTTGGTGGTTTTACGGAAATTTTATTTAATGGAAAAGAGCCTATTAAAGCAGCTAAAATTAGATATGACGATTATGATAGAAATCTTAAAAAAGTGGATTGTAAGATCGATGTATGAATTAAAATAACTTTCTCTTAAACAATAGTCATGTATTTGTTGATAGATATTTATTTTGTCGTATTTTCTTTTAGAATTTTCATTTTCAAATGAATGAATTTACTGTAAATGACCTTTATAATTTTATTGAAGATACATATGACGAAGACGATACTTATCAGTAAGGTTTCTTTTAATAGATCCAAAAGCTTTGGTTTTGCGTATAAATAAAAAAATGATAAAAAGTGCAGACAGTTCAAAATATTTCTTTTAATAACAGATTCTTGAAATCACGCATATCAGGGTTGCCAACGGCTTTAGTCTTTGGAGGCATATATAGCATTTATTTGTTTAGTTTTATTAGTAAACTCAAATCGATATGCTAATTTATTTTTTTTAAATAGGCTCACATGAAAATTTTTTTGAAAGTTTCGCTCGTGATTTATCTGGAAATCATCAAATTCGAGCCGTGTTGATCGATTCAACGCGCGTTTTAAAACTAGAAGACCTATTAACTTACACAATTAGACGTTTTCGATATGAAAATGGATATTCTTCTATAGATGGTTGTGAAAACAATAATGAAATAAATTATAATGATGATGAAGAAACAGTTAAAGATGAGGAAGAAATAATAGAAGATTTCATTGATGAAAATCAATATGACAAAAATATTGATGATGATAATATGTATTTAGAAGAGGTTAGAAACTGATAAATATCTTTTCTTTAACAAAATAATGTACGTCGTTTACGTTTTGTTCTTATCGAAAATCAAGGAAATTGGCGGAAGTAATGATGACACTCCTCTTTCAATCGAAAATGTAGTAAGTATACTTTACATGCTTGAGATAGTTTGCTTTGAATGATGACCAATGGATTTCCTTTTGTTTCAGATTGATATTGAATCTTTGGTACAATGGTACGATAGTAATGCCAAAATATCCGGTAAATGTTGTTATCATTTTATCTGTGTGTCATTAAATATTCCGATTTTCAAGAAAATATTTTTTCGTCATAGGTCTTAGATCTTTACCGAAGTTGGTTATCGTGATTTACAATTTCGATTTATTAGATCCCGTGATAATGGAAAAATATATTTATATCCTCAAGTAAATAAATCGTATTTATTTTGCGTTATATTTTTATTTAATATGAAATCTTAATGTTTAACTTATTTATATAGTGAATATAAAGATCGAATTCCTATTGTATTACTATTGGGAATTTCCTCAGTATATAGAGGCGTTGATGCTATTCATGAGAGATATTCGTATTCTGTGGAACGCTTGCTTAAGTTCAAAGAGTTTTATTTGTCAGATAGTATACACGATTTTGATGAACTCATAACTAGGGTGAAGTTAAAATATATTTCTATTTATTTCGCATTAATCTTTTTATGTTCTAATCAACTCTTTTCATTTATAGTTCTTCATCTGTAATCATTTTGGGGTCAAAGTCGGTATAAAAGTATATAATTTTCTAAATGATATATATGGACGACTCAAAATTTCACTTAAATATTTTGAACTTTCTATCAAGGTATATTATAATCATTCATTATTCGATATTTATTTTTTGAGTTAAATTATTAATTATTAATTCGATTTTAGCATATTATAAATTACTATTTCTACTCGAACCCCTTAAGTATACTTACAACTATCGATCTGGAAAATATTTCACCAAGAATTAGCTTATTGAATGAATATCATGTGGAAATGATACGTGTGCAACTTTCATTCAGAAGGTAGTTCTCATTTTATCGAATTTTATGTTATAATATTATCGTTATTAATTAATTATTTATTTGGATTATAGATTTGTGGAGAATTTCATTAACGAGCACGATCAGCCAGAGATCGCACGTTGTTTACTTGAAGATGATAATTTTGTCAAATCTATATTACCAGTCATTTTGCGAGACATGAGAAATTATCATCAAAATTTCGCCGTAGCATTTGAAATTGTTCATAGTTTGCAGAGATATGTTGATCCAAAATTAATTAAAGCAAAGTATGAATTATATTCTTACGCGTTAAAACATCCTGGTTTGGGCGAACACAAGCATGTTCAGTATTTGCTATACGAATTTAAGTAAGTGCTTTAATTTTTAACTTGTGAACGAATATAGATTAGAATTAACTATTTTATAACAGAAAACTGAAGTCACAAGAGCTTAAACACTTCCTCAACCATTTTCAAAACGTTCTTGAACAAAATCTTGAAAAGGCAGAATGTGCAAGGTCAGAAATTCAAAAATTACGTGAATTTCATGAACGATTAGAACAGATTGAGGCTTTATCACAACATTCGATAAGATCACCAAAGAAAATTAAAAAGCAAAAAAGCTCTACTTCTGAAATATACAACACTTCCATACCAAAATCGGATATATCATCTTCATCTTCACAAGAATTTACCGATCAATTTACTAAATTGATTACTAGCATCTTCGAATATTTACAAGTTTTTTTCAAGTAAAGTTTATAAAATCTTTCGATTTCTTTTTAAATCCAATTGTCGCCAATTTATTAATATTTTATAATAGGGTAAAACTTCGTCATTATTCAACAAATACCCTTTATGAAATTTTTTACTGGGAAGAATCTCATTCTCTTGAAAGTGTAAGTAATTTTTTAAATAAAGAGCTTGAAGATCAAAACCCATTAGTAATTCGGATTATGATTTTTGGTTTAGTTATTTCTCCCAGAAATTCGTAAATCGATTGTTACGGCGCTTAGAAGACCAAAACAATATCTCAATTGTAAATGTTGTCCTGATGAGTCTGATGACGATGACGATGAAATAGACCCTGCAGGAAAAATTTTATATACTCAAGATGATAGATGTATATTATATAAATTACTTGTAGGGTTCGGTAAATTTATTCATACAGATGACTTGTTAGAAAGTTTTGAAAATATTATAAAGAAAGAGAACAGAGATATTACAAATGATGAAACAAAGTAAGTTATTATTACTTATTATTTTATAAAAAAAAAAAGAAATAACGTATACTATTTGTGTTTATGTTATATTAGGGAAAGATTTTACAAAGCTACTGAAACGCTTAAAATTATTGGAGTAATTGCTGATGCTGGAAAGAAAGGTTACATAAGAAAAATGATTTGGGGAAATTTTTGAACAAGACGAAAACTAAATTTGTCTTAAATATGTCTATTAAACACAAATGTATAAAAATTGAGGATTTAAAATTAAACATGATCCTAATTCATTTAATACAATATTAAAATTATTAAACAAAAATAAAGTATCGATAATTAAATCCGGACAATTGAAAACCCAACTCAGAAAAGCCCATTATATTGATAATCTATACTTTGTAAAATTCAAAAAAAAAAAAAAATAAATATTTCTTTTAGTGCATAATTATATATCATACTGCTCATCGTAATAATAAATGAAGCCAATATTTTAAATATCTCAATGTTCTTCTGCTGCACTCTTTTTAGGAACTATTAGAGGATGAAGCTGAGACAAATAAGTAATTGCCCACCTATAAATTTAATCAAAAGTCGGAATTTTTAGCAATTTTCAAATAGTAAATTACAAACTAAAGAAACAAACAGGATCTCGTCGATAACTTTCTTTTTAATCTGAGATTTTAAAATGTAGAGTTAAAATGTATAAATAAACTTACATCAAATAAATACAAATTAAAGTTAATATGATAGATGTTCGAATCGTCCTATTGTAAAAACAGATAAATGCGCTTACTATTAAATTTTGAAAGTAATACACAACTATAAAAATTAAAGAATATGTACGTTTGGTTTGGTCCTTTGGGAACAACAATGTAAGAAATGGCAACAAGACCTGCAATAGCACAACCGACCCAAACGATGTTAAAACCGCTCATTGTTGTTAATCCTAAATAAACTAATAAACTTTTTCGTGTATAAAAAAAGATTGTTTTATTTAGTGTTCGAATGTTTTTATTTAGTGCTAGATATCTGGGCTATTTATCTGAAAATTGTTGATCAAATCTCACAATATCAGCTGTAGATTATCAAAAACGCCCGACTATATGTTATTTCATTAAAACATTTAATAGTGCAGAAAATTTATTTTAAAATTTGGAATAAAAATTTTATATAGGATACAATATATATATATATATATTTTTAATATAGAGATTTTTAATATAGAGATGAAAAATAAAATATTCTTTCAAACAAAATATACTTTTTATTTCTTTGATTTAATCTTTCTCACATAAAATTCAAGCTCTTTTCCTTCAAGAATATACCCATCAGCACGACCGCTTTGACCTGGTCGAGAAGATATTATAGCTAAAAAATAAAATAAAGTTGATTTATGCTTATAATTAAATATACACTTCGAAATCAACATCTAGCAAATTATACATACCGTATAAACGACCAGTAACAAACTGATCCTCCAAAGCACCATCAACTTTAGCTTCCTCCTTACGAGAATCTACCTTTCGTTGGACATGATTGGACCGCTTTTTATTCAATTCATCTGATTCAATCTGTTTATAAATAATTTATTATATTAACGAACGTAACTAACGAATTAAATGAAATGTTTTTCATGTACAATTGGAGCATCCGATAAATATGGATAACTTTAGCATCTAATTGTAATTCATTAAGAAAAATAAAAAAGCATTTTGTAAAGAAATTAAATAATAATAATAATAAATTCTCACTTGGCCTTCTTTCTTCTTTTTGCGACCGATAGGTTGAGCATAATGAGCTTCATACCATTGTCTAAAAGGAGTAGCATCAATTTGAATAACGGCTCCTTTCACGAGAGTATTGGTTCGAACCAATTCGTTGTTTGAAGAGTTATAAACAACAGCCAGGAGTCTTGTTTTTTTGGAAATACTCTCCGATCCCCAAGAAAAGCTTCCAGAATCCAGACGAAGAGCACGAAACTTTTTGTTCCCGCCACGAACACGAACTTCATGGATGCGTTTAGGACCAAGCTTTGTATTACCAGGTTGACGACCCAATTCAAATTTTCTTTTTTTACGATACTGAGCTCGCTTAGCACCGGTATGCGAACGCTTGTGGCGGGAGTCTCTGCTGATACCTATTCAGGTGTTATAATCGGATCACGCAAATAATTAGGGTATTTCCTTACAACTATTTTCAAACTATAAATAGTTCAAATATATTATAATTATTTGTCTTTCGATAATCGTAATAGAAAATTACATAAACTACATAAACTTCAATGTGTTGTATCGAAAGTTAAGAAATATTCGATACATCCAAATATAACTTTGGATATAATCAATATGGATGGATAAAGGATAACTAACCCATGTTGCCTAATTTTCAAATTTGCGAAGAGGGAGAACTATTGATCAGAAAGATATGATCTTTAAAATTTTTTTAATGAACCCGATAAGAATTTCTACCCGATTTCTAAGTGTCCGGTAAATCATCCGTCGATCAGAAGCAAATTCTAAAAGTCGTCATAACAAAAAAATCTTTTATATAGGCCATCCATCTTCAAATACGGGATATAAGTGGAAGCCATTTTTTCGCTTTCGTTCAGCGCAGGAAGTTTAATTTTCCCCTGCTTGGCCGTTCTTAGCCATGGCTCCATTTTATCAACGTCCCGAAAATGCTCTTAAAAGAGCAGAAGGTATTTATCTTTATAAACACGATCTAATTAGTTTTCGGGTTTTTCTTTTATTGGTCAATTTCGCATTTAATTGCTGAAATAAAGCACTGTCATAATTGAGAGTGTGGGCTTGATTAAGTGTGATTATTTAGATAAATCTTTTGTTTGGTGAATAAATCACCCAAGATCAATGAAAACAAAGATAAATTAAAATATCTTCATTTATTAACGTATCTTTTTATAATCGAATTATTTTTCATTGTAAAATCAATGGATTAAATTATAATAGAGTTAATTGCGGTTGGTCAAAATGTGGCCGCTCTCCAATCTCTTCACGAAATTGTTATTTCCAAGCGGTCACGCAACACGCCTCTCGTTGCATTAGAGCCAATAATGCTCCGATTCGTAGAACTATGCGTAAATTTGAGGAAAGGAAAAACTGCCAAAGAAGGCTTACATCAATACAAAAATATCTCGCAAAATACCAGTGTTGCAACTATTGAGGTAAGTGGATTGCAAGACTTGTTTCTCCTTATTAATTATTCGTTTGAAATTAACTATATTACAAATGTTGATAATACTGTATTAAATAAATATAAATCTTTTTCATCTATTTTTTCTTTGCCATAATTTTAAAAAATTTTTCGTGTAGCTTGTTATTAAAAAATTTATTGAACTTTCTGAGGAGAAGGTGACTGCAGCTCAAGCAAAAGCTGATCAGATTACTTTAGATGCTATTGATGACCTTGAGGCATCTGAAACCCCAGAGTCAATTATGTTAAGTACAGTGAGTGGTGAACAGAGTAAGGATAGGACGGATAGGGCCGTTGTCACTCCTTGGCTAAAGTTTTTGTGGGAAGCATACAGGACTGTTTTAGATATTTTAAGAAATAATGCCCGCTTGGAGATATTATATCAAGTATGTGAACTTATGACCTTTATTACATTAAATATTGCAACTTATTATACTATTTACAAATTTAAATTTACATTTATAAATAGCAAACGGCACATCAAGCATTCCAATTTTGCCTTAAGTATACTCGAAAAACTGAATTTCGTCGTCTTTGCGATCTTCTTCGTAATCATCTTCAGAATATTGCAAAATACGCACATCAACAACATTCCATAAATCTGAATGAGCCCGAAAGTCTTCAACGTCACTTGGATACTAGGTTTAATCAATTGAACGCAGCTGTTGAACTAGAATTATGGCAAGAAGCATTTAGATCCGTTGAAGATATTCATAATTTATTATCAATGTCAAAAAGGCCAGCAAAGCCTGTTATGATGGCTAATTATTATGACAAATTGACAAAGATATTTTTGGTTAGCGAAAATTATTTGTTCCACGCTGCTGCTTGGAACAGATATTATACTTTAGTTAGAGCTCAGAATAAAGCTTTAACCGATGAAGAAAATACTCGAATGGCTTCTTTTGTCTTATTATCCGCTCTTGCTATTCCTGTTATTACCAGTTCAAAGACTCGTTTACTTGAAATTGACGATAATAAAAGTAAAACTCATAAACTTGCCGCTTTATTAGGAATGAGTCGTTCACCAACTAGATCTGGATTATTAAAAGAAGCTGTGAGTATTTAACTCATTTGTGCTTAAAATTTCTGAATTCTGGCATTATTAATTAATTTTATTATATAGCTCAACAAAAATATTCTGCGACGTGTGCGTCCTGAATTAAAAGACCTCTACAACATCTTAGAAGTCCAATTTCATCCTTTATCAATTTGTAAAAAGATTGAACCAATTATGACTCATCTTGCTCAAGATTCCGAGATGGCCAAATATGTGAAGCCTTTACATCAGGTCATTTTGACTCGTCTCTTCCAACAACTTTCTCAAGTTTATGATACTGTTAAACTTGAGTTTGTTATCAATCTCGCTTCTTTTGCACCTCCTTATAATTATGATGCCGCTACTATTGAAAAATTTATTATGAATGGTTGTAAGAAAGGAGAGCTTTCGATTAGAATTGATCATTCTACAAAAAGTTTGACATTCGAAACCGATCTTTTTGCGGCTTCTAAAAATGCTGATGCAGACGGTGCTAAGTTACAAGCTTCACCTGCTGATAGAATGCGGGATCAACTTTCAAAGCTTGCAAAATGTTTTTATACTACTGTTCATATGATAGACCCTACCATAATTCAAACCAAAAAAGAAGCAAGGGCTCAAGCTATATCACGTGCTTTAGCTGGTATGGAGGAGGAACATAATAATGCTCTTGCACGTAAAGCTATTATTGAGCGCAGAAGGGAACTAGTAGAGACATTATTAGTACGTAAAGAAAAGGAAGAACAAAGAGAACGAGCTATTCGTAAAAAGCAAAGGGATGAAGAATTAAAACAACGACAAATGGAGGATGCTAAGAGACGTGAAATAGAGAGGAAAAAACGTGAAATTGATGCTATTCATAAGGAGGAAGCTCGTAAAATAGCAGAGTCTCTGAAGGCTAAAAATTTTAATATTCAGATTGAAGTAAATCAAAATAGCTTCTTTTTATTCAAACATGTTTGTTTGTTTTACTTATTTATTTTTATCTTATTTATTAAAGGATTTGGAGAATTTGGACACAGACAGTTTGGTTCAACTCCAAGTTGCACAGCTTGAAAAGGAAAAACGAGAGCTAAATGAACGGCTTAGAGCTACTGCTAAACGCATGGACCATCTTGAACGCGCTTACCGTAAAGAAGAAATTCCTCTACTTGAAAAAGATTATGAGCGACAGATGAAAGCAGACAAAGCTTATCATGAGGCTGCTCGTAAATTACAACTTGAAATGTCTGCTACTAAGCATATCGAGGATCTAAAGGTGAAAGCGAGATTAATGAGAATCTTGCCAGATTATCAAAAACATCGTAATGAAATTGAAAGCAAACGATCTGAAGAGTTTGAACAACGTAGAAGTACTGCTCAAGCCAAAATTGAAGAAGAAAAAGAGAGACGACGACAATTATATAGAACTAAAAAAGAGGAAGAAAGAAAAAGAAAAGAAGCGGAAGAGGAGACAAAGAAAAGGGAAGAAGAAGAAGAGCTGCGTCAAAAAGAAGGTATATGAATCTGTAAAATGATTATTACGCAAATTAATTTATAAATTCACTTTCGCCCTCGTAATTTTTAGCCGAAGAACGTGCTGCACAAGAACGTATTGCAGATGAAGAGGCCAGGCAGAAGTAACGATTAATTAATGTCAAACTTTTTTTTTTTTCATAAAACATTTGACCAACTTTATAAATTAATAGGAAACTTGATGAACAAGCTGCCAAACAGCGTGAAGCAGAACGTTTGGCCGAAGAAAAAATAAAACAGCGTGATCGTGAAGCAGAACAAAGAAGAATTGAAGAGAGAGAACGTGAAAGAGAACGAGAAAAAGAGCGAGATGAAATCGCTCGACGGGGAACGGGTGGTGGCTATGTTCCTCCGAATAAACGCACTACATCTACTACATCTACTACATCTACTACATCTGAAACTACAAGTTGGCGTCGTCCTACTGAACAAACTAGTCGTGAAGAGAGTAGTGCCTGGTCAAGTTCGTGGCGTCGAAGCGGATCAGGGCGAGGTACTGTTCCTGAAGATGGATCACGACCAGAATGGCGTAGATCTGATTCTGGGCGTGTCGTTAATGAAGACAGTGAAAAGCGAAGAATCGAGCCTTCACGACGTACTACGGCCGAAGAAACGGAATGGCGTCGGTCAGATTCGGGGCGAGGTTCAACAAGTGAAGAAAAATCTTGGCGTCGGTCGTACCGTGAGGAATCCAGTTCTAAACAAGAAGGTTCATGGAGACGTGGTGGTCCGCTACCATCAGATCGTGGAGAACGTTCAACAAAGAGCCGTGAAGATTCTTGGAGAAAAGACACTGATGATTCAGAAACATCCCCCTCATCATCTCGGGGGCCAACACGTATTTTGAAATCAGAGGGTAGCTGGAGGTCACGTGCTAAACAAACAGAATCTTCAGGAATGGAAAGCACTGCATCTGGGCTTTGGACAACTACCTTACAGGAACAAAAATTAGATGATCAAGATGATCAATATCATGATGAGCCCGAAGAGGATCAAACGATGTCTCCTGAGCGTGATGAATCATTGGCTAGATCTGAAAACAATTCTAAAACACCAGTTTCATCGGGTAAACCCATTGAACCGGATGATGATGACGGTTTTATCCCGGTTAAAAGCAAGCGACGTGGTAAAAATCAAACTGGGTCCGGGCAAGATTTGGAATAAAAAGACTTCGATGATTCAATAGCAGTTGTAAAAAGTTTTTTCTTTTTTTATTCTCATTTATTTTTATATTTTATTTTTTATTTTATTGGAATTCGTGTTAGCGGTATAGCAATTTAAAAAATGAACGAAAATATATGTATATATTTATATTAAAAAGCTGAAAATTTTCCTCCATACAATATAATAGCAAAATTATCCTTCTGTAATTTGGCAGTCTTTGAATAATAAAAATATCATTTTATAATTTGAAATGGTCTTTTTTCTAATATAAAATTTATCAGTTTAAACTTTCGGACAGATAGAACAGATAGAGATACTGAATTTGGTTCTAAGTTTATATTAAAACTTTTAAATTTTTGGCTAATACTTAAAATCTTGTTGGCCAATAGTAGACTTCCACTTAGCCATAAAATACCCTAGAATTTTTCCCAAAATATTTGTTACTTGCAGGGGTATATAAATTGTATTGTCAGAAAAATCTTTGCATATACCGATATAAAAGATCTATAACATGTCAGAACCAACTAAAGCTCAAATCGATGAAATATTCAAAAAATTAATTTCGGATAGGGCGAATAAAGTACAATTCACTTTAAATAATAACATACACTTATGTAAGCATAATTAATATTGATCCCACTTTTAGGTGTGTTTCGATTGTCAGGCCAAAAATCCTTCCTGGTCAAGTGTTAGCTTTGGGATATATCTCTGCTTGGATTGTTCTTCGGTACATAGAAACCTTGGGGTTCACATCAGTTTTGTGAGGTATGATATAGATTTGGGTAATTTTTAATGCGTACGACATTATTTGTTACATTTCAATTAACGATTTTAATTATAAATTAATCAGATCAATTTCGTTAGATTCATGGACATGGGATCAGTTACGAATTATGAAAGTTGGAGGCAATCAAGCATTTAAGGAATATATTATTCATACTGCTAAACGTCCTGAATTATTGAATAAGGATGCAAAATCAAGATATAGTTCTGATGTTGCAAGTAAGTACAAGAAAGTAGTTGAAGCCCGAGCTAAGGATGATGCTTTGAAGTAAGTCGCAGATTCAGTTAATTATTGTTTAATCCTGTCTATATATAGTTTAATACATTATTTATTATACAACTTTCCTACGCAGAAATCCCGTTTTTACTATCGAACATCATGAATGGGAACAGACTAATAATGTAAAAAAAGAGGATAACTTTTTTGATTCTTTTGTTCAAGAAAACGATGAAAAACCATCATCACCAGAAAATCTCACCAGTGCCAATATTAAAACAACTACTTCAAATGGGCCTATTTTAGTAAAATCAAAGGCAACTACAAGATCTAATATTTCAGCTCGTGGGAAAGGACCCAAAAAATCAAAAATGGGTTTGGGTGCGGTAAAACTTCAAAAAGTTGATATTGAAGAAGCTGAGCAAAAAGCCAAAGAAGAGGAAGAATTGATTAATTCTTTAGCAAGAAGTGAAGAAGAAATTGATACTGGATCAAACCGCAAATCAGAAGATCGATGGTCTTTTAGTTCCCGTTTAATGTACAATGATAGTACACAATCTACATCAGGAGTTGGATTAGATACTGATGATAAAAGAAAAAGTGAAGATATTGAGAGACTCGGTATGGGTTTCTCAAGACTAGGATTTGGTACTGTTCCGAGTAGTTCCAAATCATCATCTACAAAGATTGAAGAATCTACTAATTCACGATATGTTGGATTTGGCTCTATTAATACGAATGATTCAAGTAGTCAAGTTCAAAATGGTAAATTTTCTTTATTTTCTTCCTTATTGACTTCTATAGCTTATGTGCCTTGTCCTATATATTATTAGATTCTATGGATAATAGTTATGCTCGTCAAAAATTTGGAAATCAAAAATCTATTTCTTCAGATCAATATTTTGGTCGTAATAGTTATGATCCAGATGCTTTACCAGCTGCCTCAGATCGTTTAAGACAATTTGAAGGTGCTAGTTCTATATCTTCTAACCAATATTTTGGTCGAGAAGATAACGAAGTTTCTCAAAGAGAGAGCCTCGATCTAACTGGAATAGAAGTAAATGCAAGAGATTTTGCACGTAAATTTATTGGACAAGCTACTTCTGATTATGAGAGTATTAAAGGTGTTGTTGAAAAAGGTAGTGAAAAATTGAAAGATTATTTATCTGATATACAGGTTAGTAAATTATAATTTATTAATTATTTAAACTATAACGTTCTAATTTTAAATTTAATTTTTAGAATCGTGTTAATTATTAGATTATGTAATAAATTCTTTATGATTCTCACATAGATAATTAGTGTGTATTTTTTAGTATAATTTGATCGTTTTAGTTTTGAGATTTGTCTTCTGCTTACTATGTTCTTTATGGACATTTATTTATCAAAAAGGCGATAGACATTTTAATATTTTATGAGTTAATAAATTTTTAGATTAATATATTTTTAACATAAATTGATAAACTAATGTGCTTGATTTATAGTGAGAAATATAGTATCTTAAGCTTGTACTTGCAAAGGAAATTGATATACAGTATATACCAAACTCAGCTAGGCGAGTAAAAGAAATTCCCAAGATATCGGAAGACCCGGAAACTTATATGCGAACTCGAACTCCCCGGTAAGCCTAAGGGTATTTATGTCCAGTTTTTAAGATAATCTTATATGCAAACCATCTAATGCATTTTTCGCGAAAGTAAAAATGAAATCAAAAGCTATAATCAAGACTAAAAAAAATAAAGGAAAATCAAAAGAGATTAGCAACTTTGAATTACCAACGAAAAAAACGAAATTTTGACTTAGTAAAATCTTTTAGACCTTCCCTTTATTAGAATAAAAATTCAAATAAAAGCTATATTAAAGAAGTTATTTGTAGTGGTTCTAATTTCGAGCATATAGGGATAAAAACTTTGATTATTCATGTAAAAAAGTAATACTGAGTTGTCAAGCTAGCCAAGTTTATAGCGTACTAAAATATTTTTCAAAAACAATTAGCAAGGAAATTATTTCCGAACAAATTTCAGTCATAAAAATTTATTAAATGCTTTAGAAGTAGCATTAATTTTATTTATTTATTTTTTGTAAGAAATCAAAATTATTATCTACTTAAAATACTTTTATTTATAGAAACTTTCAACAACTCAAAACACTGGCCACTTTGGTAAATGAAAATAAGATTTATATGGTTTAGTTAACAGAATGTGATCAAAAAGTCTTTAAAGAATTAGCTGAATTAATGTTACAAATAAAGGCTTAGAAGCGAGAGGCAAACGCAAAAGGGGTAGAGCACTTATATACCTTTTTGATTTATTATTTGAATGCAGCCGTGAATACCAAATTTTTAAAAATAGCGAAATTGATTAAGACATTGGTCGAATGATGAAGAAATTGGAGATGCAATTAGAATAGTACATAAGTACATTCAAATGCATTATCTTTTATGAAGTATCTTGAGATTAGGCAACAACAGAAAAAAATACCAATAACAAATATTATCCTTGATTCAAATTATGACTAGGAGTATTAATTGCGAATTCATAATTTTGAAGGTACTATTTCTGAAGTTACAAGGCTATGTAATTAGACGAAACTTTAAAGTAATGTTTAGTAATGATCAAAAGAGTCGTTGCATCTTTCCAAAAACATCAAAATGTCATTTATGCCAGTACTGCAGATACCAGCTTTAGAAGTTTAGTTCAACAAGAGGGACAAGTACAAATGCAAGTTCTGTTTTCAGCTACGTAAGTAGATATGTGCAATAATGCTAATTATCGAAACTTATGGTGGGACAAGGGAGATTTTAATGAAAAAGCGAAATGGAACGAAGTAACGTAAGTTTACTCGTTTGATATTGATATTTTTGCGCCAGTTGCTGATATAAATTGTTCATATTAATCCTACCATATGTATTTGCTATCGGCATCACCACAGAGGATTATGAAAAGCGCACAGAAGAGTTTAACATTCATGGATGTTAGGAATGGTTGGATGGAAATGTCATTATCTATCATCTATGAATTCGCCTCTGCGCCACACGAAGTTTGGCTTATACCGAATCATTAAGTCACGTTAATGAGGTATTAATATACTGGTTATATTTTAATAGTGCCCATGATTGTATTATTTTAAAAATCGATACAGTTCCACAAGGCCAAGTACCCCTGTATGAGAGTAAGTTATATTTATACACTGTAGCAACCATATTATTTGAATAATATTCTAAAGATTAGGCTTGGCATTATTGTGTAAATAATAGAATGACTAGAAAAAATAATTACAGGTAAAGTTAAACTACGGTGATTACTTTTCTGTCAACATATTAAACCTCTCTAATGTATATATAATGATTATTAGTATGAATTTGGAACACAAGATGGCAAGGGAGCTCCAATAACACTTGCACCAGGTACACACATCATTGATATTAGGCAAATGTATCGTTCCGGCTTATATGATCCCGTACAATTTTCTTATACGATCAAATTATGCAATATATATCCTTTTTATGTAAAATAGTTTGAAATAAGAATTAAAATTAAAAATTAAAAAATAAAATAACGAAAAATTATAAAAAAATCATGGAGATTAATTAAATTATGAATATTATGAAAATTATAAAACTTTTGAAAAAAAATTATAATTTCAGTGCATAAAATTATGGATGATTTATAATATACTACTCAGCAACACGGCCAAAAGGTACATTTACTGAATTATATTGAATTAAATTTTCAAACCCTTCCATAATAAAAGTTTTAACTTTAACTATTATTATGAAAACCTAAAGGTGAAAGTTTTATAAACAAAATATAAAAGTGATAACAAGTTTCTGTTTGAATTAAACAAGGAAATATAAGTTTCATTTGAAATGAAAAATTAAATAACAAATATAAAAGTGATTAAATGCATTTTTAGTAAAATATCAGCATATCTGATCATACAAGAAAATAAGATACATAAAAAGGTATGCATATTGTTTCATAATTTGATTATATAGTATAAGAAAATAGCATATGATATTTATCTATTTATTTATTTATTAAAGTGGAAGAGCAAACAATAATACAGTCCCTATATATCAAAAAGAAAGAAGACACCCCTATATAAGCCCACTCATAAACGAACCAGGGATCGCGCGTGATTTTCACGATTTTTCGCAAATTCGCGATTGGCTGAAATTAACGTAATTTCGGCCTAATTTCTAAAGCCGTAAGGCGCCATAATTTTAGCCGGAATTATTTTGGCCAGAATTTCAGCAAAATCATCCAATCAAATTTAAATATCGTGAAAATAGTGAAATTTTATCAAAAATCGATAAAATTGGGATCAACCCACCCTGGACACCCTAAATTAAATTTCATATATCTCAATTAAAGATAATGGCTTACATTATAAGTATACGCGTTAACACGTTGTTATTTTTTCTTATTTTCATATTTTTTCAAGTTACAGATTAATATTTAATGCCAAAAAAAATAATACAGTACTTATTTTTTTATCATTAATGATAAAATAATTTTATGTGAGTTTGACTAATTATTTCTTTTAAAAGTATCTATCTATAAAAAATATTAAAAGAGTGTTATTTTTGTTAAACTTTCAATATATAACAGTCTAATGACACCGCTAGTTAATAAGGGTCTTAAACAGTCACATGATTTTTTACAATTTTATCCAATCAAATTCATCAATAAGAGTTGTTCAATTCTAGGACAAACTAGTATCTTTATTCTCGGCCTATTAACATTTTATGTTACACAAGCCAAAACATTGATGCAGTCATTTGTCAAATTGAAAATTGAAAAGGGTCTTATTATCCAACTCGATCGTTAAAGAAAAATGCCAACAGCGGTAACACATTTTAAAACAAATATCTATGAATGTCTTGAAGCTTTACCTAAACCTACACTTGACCAACTTTATAAAGAACCGGCTACTTGTTTGGCTATCTTCAGGTCTGGTTTTATTTTTTTGAATTTTGATCAGTTTTGCGGTGAATAGTGTAGTACTATAAAGGTTTAGGTATTTCTGAAAGAAAATTTAGTTTACGATTTAATAGCTTGATGCGTGTAGTTGTATTATCGTTGTTGTTGTGCCGTGTTAATTAGGAAAAGAAATAGATTTTGGGTGTGATAGGGTGGTTTGCACCTCAACAACAATAATACTTAAATTTTCATAACTGGTGATTAATACATTTCAGAACCTTGTTGTTAACTTTTTTTTTATTTCGTGTTTTATGAGAATTATTTATTCTTGGAGGGAATATTAATTCATTGAGCGTTGAACAAGTTGAGAGTGGGGGGATGTATTTTATTTATTTATTTACTTTCAAAAGCCAACTTTAGTTTTTCTTGCTGACTTGATTTCTTTTTTTTTCTTTTTTTCCATCACTCCTCTACCCAATAATATTCGATTTGGAATTTGATTGAATAAAAATTGTACCTTTAATAAAAAATAATAAAATATTTTATTCTCACATATCAACTTTATTATTTGTTTATATATTTCAAATCATTCATATCAATACAATTTACCGGAATTACTTATTTAATAATTTATTAATTAAAAAAAGACTTTTACCACCATTGGCGAGACAGCTTGTAATGTCATTATTATTCACACAACCAATTAGTCCTGTTAATTTGACACAATCAGATTTAAGATTATGGGTGAAAAACGAAGAGGAAGCTTTAGCGTATGCATTAAAGAATAATTTTTTTATATTATTTATAGTATTATTAATCTTATTTTTTATACAAAAAAGTAAATTTCACGAAGCGCTGGATAAATTATCAAAATTAAGTATAATGACAACAGATAGCTCTGGATATATACAAATAAATAGTTCATTCCGAGAACGTTTTCAAGATTGTTTAACAGGAGGGTAAATAATAACACTACGTATTAATTTTTAAATAATTATTCTAAACAAAAAATTATTTTTTTAAAAAAATTAAGGGGAGACCACCAGAGTTTTGGAGTATCATGTGAAAGACCAGCAAAAGATAAACCGGACATAGCATTCTTGGATAGACATGCAATGAAACAATGGGAAGAAATTTTACATTTTATGGTTGGAACTGAAAGTACAAGACAACCTAGTGCAGCTGTACTTAAAGTTGTTACGAGAGCTAAATTAATGAAAGAAGGGTAAAAAATAATCAAAAAAAAAAAGTCTTTTTATCTAAAGGTCTATTTCAAATTAACGATTGAATTTTTTTGATAGGAAAGATAAACAACTTATGATTACGAATAAAGGATTTCAATTTTTATTACAAGATGTTAATACTCAAGTATGGGCGTTTTTAATTCAATATTTAGATATTGCTGATGAGGTATGATAAATTATATTTCTTAAAGAATTTTGAAATTGAAAATATTAATTGTATTTTTATTTAGTTATTACACATGAATGTTGTTGAAGTATTAAATTTTTTTTTCATGTTGGGAAGTCTAGAACTAGGAATGGTAAACATACAATCATTTATGCATGCTAATTCATCATCATTCCCCTTTGACAAGAAGGAATAATTCATGATATTTCCTTTATTCTAATCCTTCGGAACGATTTTTATTTTATATTTTATGTTATTTAGGATTATTCAGTTGAAGCGTTAACTCCAACTCAAAAACAATTACTTGATGATTTGGCTAATTTTGGTCTGGCATACCGCAGGAAGGTATAGGTTATACAATCATAACTTTTGATCTTACATACGTGTTCCTTTTATAATTTTATTACTCTTTAACGATAATTTAGAAAGGATCATCAAGGTATTATCCAACTAGACTTGCAACTACATTAACATCCGGCAATTCAGCTGTAGTATCATCAGCAGTATCATCTAGTACAAGTACGACAACTGGTGATGATGGAGCTACTGAACAAGGATTTATTATAGTTGAAACTAATTATAAACTTTACGCGTATACAGGTAAATTAAAGAAAGATTAAATAAGGACTTTCCATGAATAACGTAGTTTGTTTAACAAAGCTTAGAATTATTTTTTTTATAGAATCAAAATTACAGATTTCAGTGCTGAGATTATTTTGTGAACTTCAAACCAGATTTGCAAATATGGTTTATGCCTTGATTACACGTGATAGTGTTAGAAAAGCGTTAAAGCATGGCATCACTGCTAATCAGGTGCTGAAAAATTTGTTTCTCACTTTTATTCTGAAGATAGTATATATTTTAATTGATTTTTCTTATTAGATCATTTCATACTTAACAAGCCACGCACATCCTCAAATGAAGAAACAAACTCCTTTATTACCGCCAACAGTTGTAGATCAAATTCGATTATGGGAAATGGAACGTAACCGATTGGTAGCAACCGAATGTGAGTCTAATATATTTATAAATAAAAAATTTTTGATTATTCTTTTAACATTTCTTTCTATTCAAGGTCACTTGTATAAAGAATTTCGAAATCAAGGAGATTATGAGATGGTATTAAGACATGCAACAAATTTAGGATTTGTAATTTGGTCTAATGCAAAGAAGCGGATGTTTAGTGTAACAGAAGAAGGACATGAACATGTTAGAAATTACATAAAGAAGAAAATTGCTCAAAGAAAAACTAATGGTGGCGGTGAAGCTGGTAGTGGTATTGGTACCCCTAATAATGGTAGCCCTTCTGTACGTTAGTCTAGTAATCCGCACCGCAAAATAAAAAAATAAATATATACTACTCCATAGTTTTCGTGATTGATCATAATGAAAATATAGTAACAATTCTCGTTTTCCTCAATTTCAAGAAAGCTCTTTAGTCCAATAGTTTAATTGTGAAGGTCAAAGGAAATTTTTCTCATGTATCCGAAAAAATAATTACTTTTCAAAATTTAAACTTTAGATAAACATAATAAATTTTTATTTTTATTTATTACTTGTCATTCTTTTATTTATTTATTTCATAATTTGAATATTTTATCTTACATTTACTAAGTATCTATCACATAATTATCACAATGTATTATATCTAAAATTACATAGAATAACAGCTCGATCTACATAGAACTTTGATGCTGGTTTTATAATCAAGTTGTAAAATTGCATATCTAACCTCATTTATTCTCAAACAATAGCTTTATTTTAATTAATTTGAAGAACTCATAATAATTTTATTATAAGATATTTTGTACATGATACGAAGCCTGTAGATGCGTTCTTTAAAAATATATAAAAAAAAATCTATTTCTCATCTAAAACAAGGGTGAAATAAAATAAGCAGTACATTATTTCAATATAATCCTACTATAACTGAGATCAGAACAACTAGATTATACCAAAAACTATTGGCTAATGAGATGAAAATTTATTTATTGGATGATCGGATGAATCAATTAATAGTGTAATTTAGATTTCCAAAATTTTATTTAGTACAGTTTGAAAATGACAAGTATAGCAAAAAAACTATTAAAAAAATCTGGCTATCCAATTATAAGAGATTCAAATAAACCTAAAAATTTATTTGAATTATTAAACGTCTTTCCAAATTATGGTGTTGGACTTAAAGTGGTATGTTAAATAAATATAAATATTGAATTTAAAAAGATTTTAAATTTATTAACCTATGCGGAATTTTAGGCACCAGATCATTGGGTCAAGAAAGGAATTCTTGAAAGCTATTATGAAATAACAAAAGTTGCTCCAAAATTAAAGGTGAGATGGACTTTAATTCAATTTTTAATATAATTTCCTAAAACATGTTATGCTCTTTGTGTGTAGGATATAAATCATGGAAAAGTATTTGGTATTAAGGTTTGGAAAGGTGAGACTAGAATTATTTAAATTAGACAAAAGAAAATTTTGAAATAATTTTTTTTTTCTTAGGTAAAATATTATACGAAGGCAAGCCAATGCGAATTAGTGGAACACTGAAATGGAATTGGCATAGATGGCCAATTATGAAAAAAAGAATTAGCCTTAATGATAATTCATAATTATTATTTTGTATCCAAAATTAAATTACAAAATTTTTTATAATGTTCATTCTCAGTATCTAAAAAGTTTATGTTAAAGCTCTTTGTAATGACCCAAACCGAAAAGTCTTCTCCACCATGAAGGTGGCGTTGAATCATCTATTTGTTTTTGTTTAGCAGCTTTATCTAATTCTGCAAGAAGTCCAAAATAATATCTAGGATTTGCTGCCGGCCTATACATTTTATCCGAAAGAGGATACTAAAATATAAAAAGTCAAGTTTTATCTTTTCTTCCAAAAAAAAAGAGAAATAACCTTAATAAAAACTTACTTTCTCCTTAAATTCATTTTCTTCCAATACTCTTAAAGCATTCAATTCTTTTTCAGCGTTTGAAACCAAACTATTATATATGTGTGGAGATTTTACAACCGTGTTTTGCCTAAACCCTTCTGTGACACGTAAATATAATACATGTTTTAAATTCCGGTTCGGTCGTAAATAATCATTTGGCCAATTCTCAATAATACGAAGAAAACCACGATAAAGTGATAAAATTTCTGCTTTCGATGAAGTTGGCATATAGATAATTTCGAGGAAAAAGATAAATTGATCGACTGTGATCGACAAGTGATTGATTGATCATCATCATATCGATCACACGTGAAAAAATAAAACTATCAATCAACTCGATTTTATTAAAATAACCCAATTTTATAATGTCTCTAATTGACGATTTTATTGAAAATTCCAACGATGCATTACAATCATATACTGCCAATAATAATAGTTTCTTGGATGCGGAGGGTTTTGAGCAAACTGATCCAGTTATGGTAAATATTTTATTTATAATATGTACATTCATAGAAATTTGCACTTACTCATTCATAAATTTGTTTAGTTAGAAACAGGGTTTGTTAGTACTGGTTTAGCTAAGGACGACTCAGAGATATTTTCTCTTGATCTTGTTCAATTTCAATTTCCTGCTCCTTTAGTAGCAATGTCGGTATCCAATGAAATTCTTGTAATGGCGTTGGAAACGAATCATATATTGAGAATTGATTTGCAGCAAGCTCATGATGTAGAAGGTAATTGACAGGAAATTATTTTTAACCTTAATAAGGTCATTTTGCTAATACTTTAATTGTATAATGCCCGTCAGATATTGAAATCCCACGAAAATCGGAAGTGAAGATTTATAAAATATTCTTTGACCCAACCGGTCGACATTTACTCATAACAACGGAACAAGGAGAAAATTTTTATTTATTTGAAAAGTGGAAAAAGGCTAAAGTTCTCTCTAAATTTAAGGTAGGTATCATATCTTAAGCATAATGTGCTTGATTTAATAAATTTATAGTAAAATCTATTTACTTATAATTTTCGACGAAAATTTCTAATTCATCTTTTTTTTTGTTGATAATAAGGGCATAATAATTGAGTCCGTTGGGTGGAACAGATTTAACGGATCTTCATCGGATACTTCTACAAAGAAAATTCTTATTGGAAGCCGTAATGGGATGATATTTGAAGCTGAGATTGAGCCAACGGATGAATTTTTTAAAAAAGAAGAGAAATTTTGCAAACAGGTTTATAAATATATTCATGCATATTATCCTAGAATAATTTCTATAAATTATCTATGTTTTACGTAAAAATTTTTTAGGTTTATTCATTAAATAGGAATGTTCCTATTACCGGCCTTCGCATCGAACAATTTCCTGCAACAACACGAAAATATTTAATAGTAGCTGCAACGCCAACTAGACTATACCAATTTATAGGAAATGCAACTCCATCAAAAGATGATGAGGTAGCTTCGATGTTTGAGAACTTATTTGCTAGCTATGCAATAAATCCAGGTAAAAATGCACTATTCTTTTCGCGTAAGATAATCTTCATTAACATTAAATCATTTATTTTATTTTATCAGTATTTCAGGAGCTTCCCGGAGATCTTACTTACAGTGAATTACAGTTTTATTCTCAATATCAATATCAAGATTTACATTATCAAGGAACAGCCAAAAATTTTGCTTGGTTAACAGGTCAGTCAAAATATCAAATTATATAATGTTAATTCAGCATTTTAACGAACCATAAATTATTTCTTCGTGCTTAACAGGCCCAGGTATCTATCACGGAAGTCTTGTATTTGGTTCACAAGATACTGGCGATAGTGTCATCGATAGCGCAAAACTACTTCCGTATGTATTCGTTTATTTATTTAATCACTTTATTATTATTATTATTATTATTATTATTTTTAAAAAAAAGAAAAAATGTATTTATATATTTGCTAGATATCCATCTACAGCAAATAATGATTCAACTGCGGTAGCTGAATTTCCCTTATCAAGTGCTCTTACCGAGTTCCACTTTATTTTGTTATATAAGGAACGTGTAAAAGCAATATGTCAACTCAATGATCAAGTCGTTTTTGATGATGTTATTCCACTTGTGAGTACATTAGAAAAATTTTGATTAAACATCCTCGATTAAGTATTGTATTTTATTTATTTATTTATTTATTTTGATAGAAACCAGGGGAAGAAGTTCGAACTATGACTGTGGATCATGTAAAAAACACGTTTTGGATTTACACCGATTCTTCTATATTTGAACTTATTGTTTCCAAGGAAGATCGAGATGTATGGAAGTTATATTTGGAAAAACAACAGTTTGATACGGCATTACAATACTGCAAAGTAGGTTGACAAATGTAATTTTAGATGATTGTGCATAAACCATTTTTCGACTCTGAAATTTAAATATTCAATTCTTCTAGAATCCAGCACAACGTGACAAGGTTCTTACAACTCAAGCCGAACATTATTTTTCACAAAAACGTTATCTATTATCAGCTTCATATTATGCAGAATCGACCGTGCCTTTTGAGGAAGTTGCACTTAAATTTGTTGAGCGAGACGAGAGAGATGCTTTAAAAAAATACTTATTGAACAAACTTGATAAACTTCGAAGACAGGTAAATTACAATTACACGTGAAATTGTAAGATCCAAATTAATATCTTTTTAATTTTTATGCTTTTTCTAGGATAAAACTCAAAAGACTATGATTGCTACTTGGCTAGTTGAAATATATCTAAGCAAAATTAATACATTGGAAGATCTGGCAGCATCAAGTGCTGGCTCTGATGATATAGACAATTTTAAAGCAGAACAAAAGGACTTAGAAGATGAATTCAAAGGATTTCTTGAACAATACAAGGTTATAAATTGATCGCGTCTATAACAGCTAATACATTTGATATGATTGTAACTTAATCTTTTTCGGAATAACTTAGGCCGATTTAGATAAGAAGACAACGTATAATTTAATTTCCAGCCATGGGCGCACAGATGAATTATTATGCTACGCATCATTGATAGGTGACTACGAGAAAGTAATATCACATTGGATTCAAGAAGGAAATTATAAACAAGCACTGGATGTTCTTAGTAAACAGGTATATTGTTAATATTTTTATTTAGGAAAAAAAAAACCAAATTTCCTTTACATTTTTTTACAATTCCTTCCTAATATATTGAATTTTAGGCTTCTGTTGATACGTTCTATAAATTTGCTCTTGTATTGATGGAAAATGCACCTAGTGATACTGTTGTTGTTTGGATGCGACAACCGAACCTCAATCCAAGAAACTTGATGCCTGCCTTATTAAAGTATGATCATTCAAAAGCTCCAGAAAACACTACACAAGTATGTTAAAATATTCATTCATTATATTTATAATTGAGAAAAATTAAGTAAAATTTAAATTATTATAATTTCAGAATCAAGCAATAAGATATTTACAGTACGTAGTGCAACAACAAAAAAATACAGATCCAGCTATTCACAATTTTCTTCTCACGTTGTATGCAACACAATCTACAAATGATGAGTCTGCTTTACTTCAATTTTTGGCATCGGAAGTATGTCTATTTTCTTGTTTTATACACACTTTCTAAGTGTCATGGTTTAAGTATATTTGAAATCCTTTATGTAGGGACGAGAACCATACTATAATTTGGATTATGCGCTTCGACTTTGTAGCCAAAATAGAAGAACGCAAAGTTGTGTACATATATATAGCAACATGGGACTTTATGAAGAGGCTGTTGATTTGGCATTGAAGGTAAATTTTTGCGTATTGTTTTATTATAGGTGATTATATTAAATATCTATACATTTATTAGCATGATGACCTGGAACTTGCAAGAATTAATGCTGACAAACCAGAGGATGATGACGCGTTACGTAAGAAACTTTGGTTGAAAATTGCGCGTCATGTAGTTGAAAAGAAACAAGAAATAAAAACGTAATTTTCATATAAAAATTAAGATGGTTGTTGCTTTAATAAATAATTCGTTTTAATATTGTAATTAAATATATTTAGAGCCATGGATTATCTCCAGCATTGCGACTTGCTTAAAATTGAAGATATTTTACCATTCTTCCCCGATTTTGTTCTTATAGATGATTTTAAGGTAATTCCTTATGATAATCGCAGCTAATTAATAAATTATCAATTAATTAGTTATCCTATTATAGGATGAGATATGTGCGGCTCTTGAGGAATATAATTTAAATATCGAAGAATTAAAATCAGAAATGGATGAGGCAACCAAAAGTGCTGAGAGCATTCGGCTTGATATACGAGAGTTAAGATGCCGGTAAATACCGAATCAACTTATATTTGGTCCGATTTAGTTATTATTTAATTCTAATTTTTCAAAATGACGCAGGTTTGCAGTCGTGACAACAGGGGAAAGGTGTTCAATATGCGATTTATCATTATTAACAAGACCATTTTATATTTTCCCTTGTCAACATGCTTTTCATGCTGAATGTATGATCAACCGAGTAAGCTAATTTTTATTCAATTAAACTCAGTATTGATATGTAAAATACTCTAATTTGACAATTATCATTATTAGGTGACTAATTATCTTAGTATGGGGCAATTACTTCATCTTTCGGATTTACAACAAAAAATATCAAAGGAATTGAATAATGTTAATCATCCACCTGATCCAGCAGCTGCCACATATAATGAAGATGATGTTGCTGTTTTTGTTCCAAAAATTGATCAATTAAAGGTAATTTGTTGAATAGTATTTACAAATTATTAATTTTTCTAATTAAAATATTTTTTTTCTTCTAAGGATGAGCTTGATGATTTAGTTGCATCAGAATGTATACTTTGTGGGGATATGATGATCAAAACTATTGAACAGCCATTTATAAATGATGATGAAAATGATTTATTGAAATCATGGGAAATATGATTTAAAGTATTACATTATTAATTTATATCTTTTTGTATAATAAGAATAAAGTGTTTTATTTATTTATTTATTGGATTTATGCCATTTTCTGATTAAATGCATAATAAAGTTACTTAATTAGCAATTAAAATGGATTAGTAAAAAATTATTACTTATTATATATTATTAAGCCGTATGAAATTTGAATCAAGTTTAAAAGAAGTAAATTAACTAAATTTTTAAATAAATATATATATATATATATAATTATTATATAATTGATATTTTAAATTACTAATAAATATAGGATAATAGTGGTATTTTATGTAATTTAAATCTAAAACAATAATTCCATATATATATATAATCAAGATTTATATAAATAATAGTTATAATACTAAAAAGAATTCAAATCTGATTTATATAAACTTAATAATAAATTCTAATTTCAAATGCATAAAATTATTAGCTAATATTAATCAAAATATTTCATTTGAAATTTTTGTTACATAAGATTTGAATTATTTTAGTATAGTTTAAAATTCTATATTATAAATATCTATTTATTCTTTTTAAAAGGTTTTTTACTAATCTTTTAAAAAGTAGTTTTTAGTAAAATTAATAAGACATTTATTAAAATTTGTTAAAAATATTAAAAATCAGTTTAAATTTCTAATAAAAAAATAAATTTTATATTAAAAACATTTATTAATATTTTTATTTTTATTTTTTTTATAAAATTCTTATTTTTAATAAAAATCACCATAAAATTTTTATATATAAATTTATTTTATTTTTTATTGCAATTTTATCAAATAATAAATCTTATAGATCCCATTGTGTAGAAAGAGAGGCGTTTGCTAAGAAAACCTGTTTCAAACATATCTTACTTTCTGAGCGTAATTTCCACCCAATAGTACACATATAAGGTATTTTTATAATATGACAAGTAGTTTGTTAATTAATAATGTTAGGTTTTTAATATATAGTATTATACATTTATGTAATTATATATTTTTTTTTACTTAATAAACTAATGAATATGCTGCAGTTAAAAAAAAAAAAATTTCATCAAATAATTTTAGTTTAATTTAAATTAAACTTAAGTATTTACTAAAAATAACATCAAGTTTTATTTAAGTTATAAAAAAATATTAAAATCTCTAATTATATCTTTTATTTTTAAAGTTTATTATAAAATAATATCTCATTAATTTTATAATTTTTAAAATTTTACTGTTCTATATATTCTTATTTTTAAAAGTGAATTTTAATAAAATTATATTATTGGATTTATCTTAATGAAAGAATCTAGTAGTAATAAAATCATATTTCTAATATTAATATTAATAAAAATGCATTTTATTATATATTATTTGTAAATTAAATGAAAAATATTTAAACTTTTATAATTATTGCCATTTTCTTTTTAATGATTTAGCTAAAATAATAATTAAAAAAAATGAATTTTAGAAATCTGTGATTACTGAAATTTTATTGTATTTTTAGGTAGAAAAGGTGCAAATACAAATTAAAAATGCAATAAAATTTTAGTAATTATAAGTTTTAAAATAAGTTTACTTATAAATGACTTCTTAAAAATTTGTGTAATATTTATACTTTAAAAGTTACTTATAGGTAAATTTACTTTAAACTTATGATTACTAAAATTTTATTGCATTTTCAGCTTGTATTTGCATTTTCTTTACCTGAAAATACAATAACATTTTAGTAATCATAGGTTTCTAAAATTCATTTTTTTTATTAGTTATTATCTTAACTAGATTACACTAAAAAAAATGTTAGTAATTACATATATAAAACTAAAGCAGGATTCAGAAATATATATATAGGGATATATATAGCTAGATGCATTGCCATCATAATAAAATTAGACAAAGTAAAGTTTTAATTTGCATACAATTTTAAAATTTTTCATCTATAGTTAAATTATCAAGATTGCATATTTTTTATCAAAATTTTTATATATAAAAAATTAGTTTATGTATTTTTAGTCTAAATTTGACTAATTTTACATATATATATAATATATTTACTATATGTACTTATTTAATTAACCATATTGTAATATTTAGTATTAATTGAATGAAATTTCTAAGAGTTAAAAAGTGAAATTTTAGAAAAATATTATTGAAAAAATGGTAAATTCTATTTTTTTACATTAGTATTTGGTTTTATAAATAATATAGAAGCCATAATAAAATAATTAATATAAATTAATATCTGAAATTTTATTTGCATATTTTTGCAGGATTTTTAATATCAGGTGTTAATTATATGTACTACTCATATAAAAAGTCTTTACATATAGTTCATAGTAAAAAAATTTTTTACCATCTGACTTTATATATATATTTTTGAGTCCTACTAAAGCTATTTAAACTTTTTAATATATAAATTAAAATTTAAGTCTTATTTCTAAAAAATAAAAATAAAAGGAATGTTAATAACTGATAATATTTTCAAATTAAAAAAATGGTAATTTCATTTTTTTTAATTTATTTTTAATATTCCAATTCAAAATTCAAGTCTAAAAACTATTTTTAAATAAAAGAAATATTAATAATATTTTAAAATCAAAAAAGTAGCAATTTTTTTTTTAATTTACTTTTAATATTTCAATTTAAACAATTCCAGAAACTATTTTTTTTAAAAAGAAATATTAATTTATAATTCTAAGAAATTAACTATTAATAGAACAGAATTTAAAATATGAAAGTATAATGTAAAAACTAAAACATTATAAAACATTAGTATAAAATTATACTATTTAGCCAATTTTTTATGGTAAAATTTTGGTTATTAGAAACAACTTTTTTATAAACTAAAAAAAAAATGCTTTTTCTTTATATATTGCAATTAATAGAATTTTTTTTTAAATTTTTAAAAAAATTATTTTTAATAATCACAAAATTTACTGGATTTTTAATAAAAAATTGGCTAAATAGTATAATATTATACCAATATTTTTAGCTTTTATATTATATTTCAAAAATTAGTACTTTAATTTACCACATCTTTAAATTCTGTAATCTGTATTACTATATATTACTATATATCTTTACTTTTTATACAAATCACAAATTAATAATATTTTTAAATTAAAAAAAAAGTAATTTTACCTATATTTTGGATTTTCAATTTATATATTCCAATTTAAAATTTAAATTTAAAAGCTGTTTTTAAAGAAAAACTAAAAAAAAATATTATTTAATAAATTTTCAATTTAAAATGAAAAAAAAATTATTTTAAAAAAAAACTAAAAAAATAAAATTCTGAAAAATACATATATAAGTTAGAATTTTTCTAACTATCACTGGGGGTGATGATCACCAGTGACTGAAATTATTACAATCGACCAGCATTAAAAAAATATAGTACCGGTAAAAATTGATAATTCTGGCCAACGGTAATGATCACTCCCGATGATTTGAAGTAAAAACCTATAAGTTATATTTAATTTAGATAAATTATTTAAATTTGGCTTAAAGTTCAATTTAAATTTTTAACTATTATAGATTTATTAACAAAATTTTATTATAAAGTATAACTTTAAAATAAATTATAAAAAGCTATATACTTATTATTAATATAAATTAGTAAAAGTAATTAATATATATTACATATTGAAAAACTATTATTATAAATCAAATTCTTAATGTTAAGCAATTTTCAAACAAATTTATTAAAATTTTTTTAAAATAAATATATTAGAAATGTTTTAAATTTAAAAGTATGTTAAAACATTTGTATTTCATAATTAAGTGATTTTAACATCATATATGATTTTAAAAGCTAAAATTTAGCATTGCTAAAGAAAGAAAATTTTAATTAATGATATTATGTAAAATTTATTGTTAAACTTTAATTTTATAGATTTTTTACTATTATTTACCTAACTTTCAGTTTTATATCTTTAGATAGTTTATACTTAGTTATAATTTTAAATTTAACTCTAGTAATTTATTACCAATTATAATTATTAATAATAATATTAAATTATACATAGTTATAAATCTTAGCAAATGCTCTAATTTTTTTATAAAATTATGCATTTTATAACGATATTACATTGAATAAATTTAGTAAATTTTACAAGTAAATGATAATATAAAATATCATTATTCTAAACATTATACCATAATGTCGAGTGATAATAATATAAAATAAAATGGATATATAAAACTATAAAATGTTTATCTAAGATATAACATTTTCAAGTTTAAAAAGTAATTATTATTTTGTTAAAAATGGAATGGTTATTAGTATGTGACATTTCTTCTTTAGTGTATACAGCCTAAATATCTCTATATATTTGACGTTCTTATACAAATCAAAAAGAATACATTTGCGTAATATTTGTGTAAAGTAAGAACTTTAAAGTTTAAGCCAATTCTGACTGGTAATTTACAAAATAACAAACACATTTTTTAAAAAAAAATTCTGAATCAGAATACTTTTCCGATTTCCATTTTCAATTCTGCAAAAAATTGAAAAGTTCAGGTGATAATTTAAGAAATATCCACCTATAAAGAGACTAAGCAATTATCAGATTGATCAAGTTCATGTAATACCAAATTTAGTAAATTGTTTGATTAAATGATCACGTATATTATAAGACTATAAGGCCTATTAATTTCTAAAAAGTCAATTTAACCACTATTTTATTTAAGACTAGAGCTCCGAATGGGTTGGATTGGGTCAGGTAATTGACTTGACCTGACCCGAGGCAAGTCATGAATTTGGTGACCTGTCCCGAATATCACAGGTCAATTCGGATACCCAACCCAACCCATTGACCCAATATATTTTGGATCAAAAAACGTTTCAGCGTTTTTTATATATCGAAAAAATGCTGAATGTTTTTTTTTTACAATTATTTTATGGAAAAGTATGTTTTGGCACTTTTTATTATGCCAAAACGTATTTTTTTTGTTTCTTCTAATGAAAAACGTCAGACCCGACATTTTTAAATTAAAGAAACTTTTTTTTGTTTTTTTAAATGAAAAAATGTCAGGTTCAACGTTTTTAAATTAAAAAAACAATTTTTTTTTATTTCTTTTAATAAAAAACGTCAGGTTCAACGTTTTTTAATTAAAGAAATGTTTTCTTTTGTTTATTTTAATAAAAAATGTCAGGTTTGACATTTTTTAATTAAAGAAACGTTTTCTTTTGTTTCTTTTAATAAAAAACATCAGGTTTGACGTTTTTTAATAAAAAAACATGTTTTTTGTTTCTTTTAATAAAAAACGTCGAGTTCAACGTTTTTTAATTAAAGAAACGTTTTCTTTTGTTTCTTTTAATAAAAAATGGCAGGTTCGACATTTTTTGATAAAAAAACATTTTTTTTTGTTTCTTTTAATAAAAAATTCAGGTTCGACGTTTTTTAATTAAAGAAACATTTTTTTTGTTTCTTTTAATGAAAAAATGTCAAACCTGACATTTTTTAATTAAAGAAACATTTTTTTGTTTCTTTTAATAAATAAAAAACGTCAGGTTAGACATTTTTTAATTAAAGAAATGGTTTTTTTTGTTTCTTTTAATAAAAAATGTCAGGTTCGACATTTTTTAATAAAAAAAACATTTTTTTTTGTTTCTTTAATTGAACCTAATGTTTTTAATAAAAAAAGACGTTTTTGTAATTATTTTTAATAAAAAAATGTCAGATTCAGATCAGTTTGGTATTTTTTATATATATAAAATGCTGAAATGTCTTATTTTTGACCAAAATATGTTGGGTTAATGGGTCAGGTCAGATACTCGACTGTGACTGACCTGACCCAAAATTGGGTCATTAAATCTGCTACCTGACCTGAATTTTTCAGGTCAACCTGTCAGATTACCCGATCTGTCGGGTCAAATTCAGAGCTCTATTTAAGACTATTTATTTTGTACATTTTTTTTTTTAAAAAAAAAAAACTTTCTTTTTGAAAAGTAGAGTTTGTCTCCTATACTGTTTGCCATCATGTATAGTGTGTTATAGAAAAAGGCGGACTTGTTTTATTGATTATATAGGTACAGTTTACCCTTCCTATAGCGAATTTTAATATAACAAATCACATGACGTTTGGCCAATAAAATATATCAATTTTCTTTCGCTATAATGAAGTAACCAATCAAATTTTTCAAATTCTTTGTTAATTTGCTATAACGAATTTGAGATGTAGAACGGCTTCTTCGCTATATCAAAGGTAGACTGTATAAGCTTATATTATATAAGCGTAAAATTTATATAATCAGTTTGATAATGCAACAAAAATCCTTTAATCAAGGGTTAAAATAGGTATGATAGGATATTCTCATATATCATAAGCTCTGTTTGTTTGAAATGTCATTTTATATATAATTAAGTAGGCTTAAGTTGTAAGTAACTTTTTTATAACATTGATTATTGGAGAATTAAGTGGCAAAAATAATTTTTAGTTTGTAAGACTTTAACTCTATACCAACTTGTGTATGTTTAGCGTATAATTGATTTCCTAACCCTTAAACCTACTCGTGGGTTAGGTAAGTTGCTTTGCACTTCTTGCAGCCTATTTTATAATGGGTTTTAGGACCACGTTTGCCTATTTAAAATTTATTAAACAGGTTGTCATTTGTCCAAACACATTGCAACGTTTATTGATAAAGCTATAGTTGTCTAATAAAAATTCGCTTTACCTGGCAATTTATGGTGGATTCAATGGATCAAATTACAAATAACAATAATTTAGTCATATGAGAATTTCAGGCCAAAGAATAAGGATGCATTGTCAAAATTAAGAATATATTTGTATTTTTTTTTTAAAGCCGTCATTCTCATGAACTTTTTCATTGTATTCCTAAGTTCAATGATTTTGGTAATGATGAAACTGCAGTTATTTATAAGGGTTTTTCACCAAACTTCTAAAATGAATTCATGTTTGATATTTTCAAATATACTTATCTTTTTTACAAGAGAGTCATAATGAGTCTTCTTAAAGCGTACCTGTGACATCCTATCCAACTTGGGCAGTATCGCTGAATCTAAAGCAAGGTACCCAGTTAATCCTTAACTTTGGGTTGATGAATTATGATTCTTGAGTATTAAAGCATAATGTTTTGACTTACAATCATTAATTTTTTAGATTCCTATTGTATTTAACTCATGCTTTTAATTTATTGAATTAGTTTATTATAGAATTATTGATCTGTTGTATAATATTCAGTTTGAACTAATACATACTTTATTTGTATCTAATTAAAATTGTTATTGTAATAAATAATAATAACTTTGATTTATTTAAATTAACTTTTAAATTAAGTTACATATTATTAAAATATTATAAAATTGAATTTAACGATATTAATATTTTAAAAGTAATAATATCTTTATGATATTTTTTTGATACTAAATTAATATTGAAATGATATTATATCAATATATAAAATTTATACTACATTTTTAAAAATTTATTATTTTAACAATATCAAAATGATATTGATTCGCTATTTTGTCGATATCGATAAGATATCGATTAGATCATAATTATAAAGTGATATCTTTACGATATTGTTTTGATACTGAATTAATGTTAAAATAATATTATATTGATATTGCATTTATTAAAAAATTTATTATTATTTTAACAATATCAAAATGACGTCGATTCATTATTTTGTCAATGTCGATATAATGTCGATTAGATAATTATAAAGTGATATCTTTATGATGTCGTATTGATATTGAATTAATATTGAAATGATATCTTATTAATATTGTATTTATTTTCTATTTTTCAAAAAAATTATTGTTGTTATAATAATATCGAGATGATATTGATTTGATATCTCTTCAAGCAAATATCTTTATGATATCATTTTGATATATTAAATTAATATCAAAATGATATCATTGCAATATCATAATGATATCATTTGCAAATCGATATCATTACGATATATATTTAACATCATTATTATATTAATTCGATATTGTTCAAAAATTTAAGGTTTCTGTAAAGTAATTGGATTTTCATAATTTTTGGCTCATTTATAATAACTAAATATTAATTAATAGAATAGACAATTGCATTTATTAATAATATTATTTATGATATTTTCTTAATCTAAAAAAATATAGATTTATTATACTACTTAAAATTCAGAAAATACATCATCTTAATTAAAAATGAATAAATAATACAAATTTATCTGAAAGAATAGTATATAAATAGCTTTATTAAAAAATATTTCTGTAAAATAGTTTCCAGCCATTTAATTTTTTTACAAATTAAAAAGAAAAAGAAAAATTTCTTAAACTTAATATTTATGACTTTCTTTTACAATAACTGATAATTTCACTATATTTAGTCAAAGTTATTATCACATTAAGAAAGTGCAAACTTATAGTTTACTACTAGTTTACTTGAAAAAGTAAAAAGATTTAAATAATTTAATTGATAAAAAAATTTGAGATTGATAGACTTAGTTTTAATTATTAGTACTACTACTAATATTTTCTTTTAATTTAATCAGATATCTAAAACTAAATTAACAATTTTAAAGATATTAAAAAAGTCTCTAAAAAAAATCTTAATCTTATGAATAAAATTACAAGTATTAATAAAATTCTTCTAAAATATAATTATATAAAAGTTGTGAATTCAAGAAAGAAAATATTGTTAAAGAATCTTTTAATTAAAAATGTAAGTCAAATGATAAGAATAATAAGGCAAAGAAAAGCTTCAAGATCAGAACTAAAAGAGATTCTGAAAAGTTAACAGATAGGTTATAAAATGAACTGATAATAAAATAATTTATTAATCATATTCTATAATAGGTTTTTAGCTTTTTAATTTTTTTTATTTATTTTTATAAATAGAAATTTATTTTCTTTCAGAAATTTTTATTACAGTTAATTAATTCTTTTTTTCAAAAGAGTTTTTTGAACTCTAAAAATTACTAAAACAATTCCTATACAGTCATCCTCCCATATAGTCACCCCCTGTATAATCACAACTCCCTTATAAGCACATTTACATTAATCTCAAGTTACTAATAAACTTATTAAAAAAACCTTCACTTTAATCACATCATATATAATTTTTATAGTCACACCATTTTTTTTTTTGGTCTGAAGGGTGTGATTATATGGGAGGATAACTGTATAATTAAAATTTAAAAATACAATATCTCAACAATTAATATAGGATCCCACTTACTTATAATAAAAGTCTTCAGAAAAAATTTCAAATTTACTAGTAATTTTACTTTACTTCAATTCTTAATATTATTGGTTAATTGATTTAAAAGGAAAAAAATTATAATAATACAATGTAACATTTCTTTTTTTAGATATAATTTATCTATTTATAATAGGATCATTAAAATTTTTTTCTTAATAATTTTACCTTAGAGTTATAGTGACCTTTATTATAAGTAAGTGGAGTTCTATCAATATATATAAATTATATATCAAAATATTCATCTCATTAAGACAAATCTAACAAGCTAAAGATCATTAAAATCTGATTACTAAATCCTGAAATAGTAAAATTTGATATAGATTTAATAATAACTTTATACATTTGAAATAGAAATTAATTATAAAGTTTATATAAATTCAGATTTAAATTTTTTAGTAATCTTTAGATTTTTCAATTCCTTTTTACATTTATAGAGACTAGTTAGATTAATCTTTAAATGTAAAGTTTTATTATAGATAGTCTAATTAGTAATATTATATAATTTGTAAAAAATGCTTTTTTTGCTTCAATTTAGTTTGATTAATAAAAAAGTTAGCAGTTTGTATTTTAACTATAATGTTTTTGTTCTTCTTACATTTTCTTTTAATTTGGTATTAAATAGAATAGATTTAGAAGTTGTACTAATTTTGATTAATAAAATAGACTATTAGAAATTATTATAATTATTTAGTAAATTTGAGTTATTATTAGACAGATTTATGTTATTTTAATTTAATGTAAAGCTTATATTAGCAATAACATCTATTAGTTCTATTTATATATTATTCTAATTCTTTGTAAAAAGTTCTAATAAACTTCTTTAGATATACACTATCTAGACAAAAATAGCGGACATCATATATATATTATTTACTTAAAATTGTACATAATAACAATACTTGAATTTTTAATATGTGATAATATAGATTTTAAAGAGCATATATTTAAAATTTTATGCTTCTAGTCTTCATTCATTTGTATTAATTAAAAAAATTTCAATAAAGAATTTTTAATGATTGAACAAATATAATTGGTAATTTATTTTTATTATTTGCTTAGAATTATACATAATAATAATACTTGAAATTTTAATATGTTATAACACATATCCTAAAGAGTATGTATTCAAATTTTCATGCTTTTAATTTTCGTACAGCTATACTAATTGAAAAAAGTCTAAAAAATTCCTAATAGAAAAAAAATTAATATTTTGGATAACATCTCATTTTTTTTTTATTAGAAAAGGTGAAGACATATAAATTTGCACATTTACTTCTCAAAATAATAGCTTTCATATAATGTAAAATTTAAAATAATTTTATTTATGTAAAGTTTATAGAAAATGTGAAATACTGATGAATTTTATAATTTTTAAAGAATAATCAATTTTGCAAATTTTTTTTTACAATACTTATAGCTAACTATAGGAAATTTTGAATATATTGATAAGGATTCATGCTATTACATATTAAAATTTCAAATATTATTAATATACACGAATAACATGATTATAAATAAATTGGCAGCTTATCTGTCATATTAGTAGTATGATTATCATTAAAAATTTGTTTATTCTTTTTTAGGATTTTAATTAAAACAGATGTATAAAAGCTAGAAACATGAAATTTCAAATATATATACTTTAGAATTTATTTTATCATATATTAAAATTTCAAGTATTATTATTATGTATAATTTTAAGTAAATAATACATATATGGTGTCCGCTAATTTTGTCTAGGTAGTGTATATTAAAAGTTGCAAAAGAGTATATTTAAAATTATTCTGAAAAAACTTCAGTAAAATCTCTATAATAATACTTTCTTTTTTTGCTAACTTTAGAAGTAAATGAGGTTTTAAAGTATAAGTTTAAGTAAAAAATATAATCCTAGTAATATTTGAAGCTTTGTCTCTAAAAGTTTGGTGTCTTTTTATAAAATAATACATGACAGTGTTTTATTTGTTTATCTAAAAATTCAGCAAAAACTTATCAGTTACCATGTTTCTTTTGCATTTATTTTTATATATATTTCTTGTAAAATTTTTTAAAATAAGTGTTATTTTATACTTGTATCTAATTATTTTAAACTTTTCTTTTAAAAAATTTCTTTTATTTTTTATAAAAAATTATGGATTAAAGGCTTATAGAAAAGAGTTTTTATAAAATTTTACTAATTTATATATATATATTATTTTTAAAGAAATTAGATTTATATATATTTTTAAAAATATTTATATTATAAAATATATATAATTACTTAATAGTATTATTAATAAATTTTTAATTTTTAATTTTTAAAGTATTAAAAAGAAAATTATTATTAGTAATTATTATTATACTAAAATTAACAAATATTAGTAAATAGAATTTTATAATATTTTTATTAGAATTTTCTAACTATTACTAGAGTGATAAAGTGATAATTACTGATAATTAAAATAATAACGATTGACTAACATTAAAAAAATATAGTACCGTAAAAATTGATAATTCTGACCAAAGTAATAATTATTTCCAGTAATTGAAGTAAAAAACTTTTTATTAATTTAATAATACTTATTTAAAAAATAAAAAATATATTACTGTAAAGTTCCAAATATAAGTATCTCAGATTTTTATATTATTTAAAAATAAGTACTTTTGATCAACACTATAATAATTTTGGCTAATACAATATACCAAATATATAAATTTATCCAAATATAAGTATCCTTATATAGTATATATATAAATATAATTCTAAATATTTAAAAAGAAAATAATTGAAATTTAAGATTAGTAGTTTTAATATTTTAATAATTTAATAATTTAAAATTTAGTAAAATAATTTTAATTTTTATAAAAGGAAATAATAATTTTATGCAAATGCATTGCAACACACTCCTCCTTTTTGAAAATTATTAAATATTAAATTTGCTGATTATAACGTAATTATAAATGATTAACAAATTTACTATTTAAAAATTTCCAAAAAAAGGGATGCATTAGGATTCCAATTACTTATAAGATAGGTTATCGGAAATCTAAGGTAAAATTTATAATTGAGAATTTTTGAAGATCCTATTATATATAGATAAATTATACTTAAAAAAGAAAATATTATACTAATTGTTATAATTTCCTTTTTAGATCAATTAACCAATAGATTCGCTGGTAAAATTATTAGTAAATTTGAATTTTTCCCAAAGACCTCTATTAGAAGTAAGCAGGGTTCTGGTATGTTCTTCAAATTTTAAACTTTTTATAAAAATAAGTAAAATAATTATATATAAATATATTTTAACTAACTTGATTGGCATTTCAAATTATAATTACAGTATTCTAAAATAATTTGAATAGTATATATATATACCTAAATAATTTAACTTACTAGTAAATTTTATGTAATTATATAATTTTATAAAAAGAAATGATTACAATCAAAAATATAAGAAATGTTATAAAAAATATAAAAAAACTTAATTATTATACTTTATAATATCTAAATAAATAAAATCTGTATAAAGTGAAATGAATAATAGCACAAATAATTTTTTTATTTTTAATTTAGATTATTTAATCTAAAAAGCAAGTTAGCAAAACTCTATATCTCATATAATTTTATTAATAATATATTTTTTTTATAAAAGAAATGTAAATATAATTATATTTGTATTATAAGTTTATTTAAAGATATAAATAAAAAAACCAAATTCTAAATATAGTATTGAATATTCTATAAATATTATTTATTTAAAATTCAAATTTCAAACTAGTAATTTTATTTTTAAAATCTAATTAAATTATATAAAATTAAAAATTTTAATTAGAAAATAATAAATAATAAATAAATAAACTGCATTACAATTAATAAACAAATAATTCAGATAATAAGAAAATATATTTTCATAATTATTTATATCATAGAAGTTTGAGGTTCACAATCATCATAATATAAGTATTATCTGAATATTAACTTGTATACTTACAATTAAACTAATTGTTTTTGATCAAAATTCCATAAATTACCTAGATATAATATAATTCTAGCAGAAAAGGAATCCGCTTCATAAACGGATCTATAGTGATATCCTTTTAGTTAAAAAACAAGTCCCTACCTTCAAATTGGATCTGGGTAGTGTTATTAAGGACCTCGATCATTTGCATTAATTCATTTCCGAAGGCAATACAATTAGACAAGTTATTTAGACGAAATCGGCGAAATCATTTCCTATAATGATAAATTTTGGAAAATATCCTTATAATTAAACTTTTCTATATTTATTATTATTCTCAATATCGAGTGCAAGTAATAAGAGCATTGTTTGACACTTACTTTCTTGGAAGTATATACACCGTATTAGTCATCGTGTCCAGTGATACTTGGAACTGAGAGGACAATAATCGTTTAATCTGTGAATAGATTAGCTGACGTGATGATTTTTTTATTGTAAATTATTTTCGATCCTGGATTCTTACCTCGCGAGGAAGTGATACCCACGCTTTTACGATTTATTTTATGTTACTTGTCAATTTATATTTTTTTATTCTTAAATTGCAAATGAGCAACGTCAAATACCATTAATGCTTCTATCAAATTTTTTCTGACGCAAAAATGTTAAAGGGATGAGTCTAATTCAATACTTTTTATTCCATTCCTTTACCTATCTTAGTACAAGTTTATGATATATCCGCGTTAAAGGAGGACAACATTATTAAGTTGATTAAATAGTAACAAATAAATTTACGTAGTTAAGAAACACAAAATGTAGTCTTCACTTTACGGACTTATTCAAGTCTCTTTTGTACTTCTCCGGTTTCTTCTATAAATATAGTATTATACAGTATATAGGACATAAGAAGAACAGATGTTATTCATTAATTAAGTTGTTATGAATTACTTACTCGGCTTCATTTGTCCCTTCATCATTACTTGAATCTATATTACTTGTCAAATCACTACCATCATCTAACAAATCTTTTTTTTTTATATTGTTGTTCTTTTGTGTAGTTTCATCACTTTCCTGTTTCTGTTGTCCATTTATATTTGTATCGCTTTGTGATAAAATATTACTCCTATTATTTTCTATATTAACAGAAACAACCTCTCTAAATATTTTGGAACGTTTAGAATGTTTTCGTTTTCCTCTAGATCCGATTCCCTCACTATTAATATCAGTCTCAATTTCATCGTTATCACTATGTGATATATCGTTCATAATACCATTATGTGATGGTATTTCAACAATAATTCCATTTCCGGGTGAAGAATTGACAACTGCGGATGAAGTTGGTCCTGATAATTCTTCATCAACTGATTGTATTACTTTATCAAATTTTTTGTTTCTTTGTCCAGCTTGGAACACTAGAGAAAAAAATCAATTTAGAAAACAGTTCGTACTAAAATAATTTTTTTTTTTTTTTTACAGAACGAAACAAGAAGGTAAAGGTTTCGTGAACGTACGTACAACTCAATTCTTCTTTTAATCTCGGTAAAAACTCTTCAAAATCACCATCCTCTAGAGCTTTAAATACGTCCCCAGGTTGTATGTTTTTACGGTTTTTACTTTTTGCCATGCGATTAGCGCTGTTAGTTAATTGAATTAAGGAACCGATTTTTATATAAATGATGGTAAAAATACGAAAACATGAAAAAAGGGATACACAGAGGTAATATGACTAATAAATACAGTCGTTGATCTTATCACAGCTAGTTTCGCATCATCTTGTATTGTGTTATTACCTAGCTTTTTTGTTAATACAGAATGTATCTATCTTAAGGTTATATAAATAAATACGCGTGAAAAAAACTATTTAACTTACAGCGTTATTTATAAGTTTTGTTATTATTGAATTTGGCATATCCAAATCTTCTATCTCTTTTACTACTTTATCATAGTCAACTTCACCTTCTGAACTAAAATCCTCTTCCGAACTTATCATTTTTATAAAATGAATAAAAGTAGTTTGATAAGAAATTAGCAAAGAGTTTAAACAAAATCGAATTAAAATTATTGTTTTGTTGTACAAAAATTTAGCCAATAGCGTTGACTAGAGAAACTCTCACAAATTTGTTAATATTTATTATTTTCATATGATGTTTAGATTTATATATGGATCATAAATTTTCAATTGAATGGTAGTTTATATTGATGTATGAGCCAGGACGAATTAAACCGTAATGAATCAATCTTATTGATCTTATCTTGTTTGAATAGGAGTATTTGTGATGCGAAAATTTTAATAGATTAAATAAATTGAAAGATAGCACTTATCCTTACACTATTTGTTTAGAAACCACTGCTATAAATATAATATTTGAGGATACTATTAAAGTTCAACAATTTTAATTATTAACAGTTAATATTTGTACTTGCTTAACAAAATAGCTCTTATCATTTCTTAATATTATTGTTGTCCGCAGTAAGTAGGTCAGTTACACAAATAACTCCTACTGGATTTTTCGTACCACAACTCATTTAGTAATTCTAATAATGAGAAGCAAATCTTTAAAACAAACATGCAGTGTAACGATGTTAAAGTATGCTTGCGAATTTAATATTATTACATATAAGGTAAATTTTCTATTTTATTTTAGCATAGTAAAAATCAGATTATACTGTAACAAATTCTTTCTAGATTCTAATATTCTTATACCTAACTTAACCATTCTCCGTTTAAACAGCTGGTAGAGCGGCTTCCATGTTCCTTAAACTTTTAATTAAAGGACGCATTCTTTGTTCTACAAGCTGTTCCATCCCAGAATATTCAATTACCTGGAGAGATAATTTGCATAAATAAATAATTCATCATTTTATAATGTTATTGCAAAATAAATATCTTACCCTATTAACAAACTTCACCACAAATTCAGAATACATATATAAAAAGTTAGCAGGACCAGTAACACTATTAATTTTTGGTTTAGTGATATGTTCACATAATCTTAATCCTGCTTCAACTAAACTCCCAGAAAAATTTTCAGTAATCTTTAAATTTTGTTGTAATTCAAATTGAGAGAATAATCCTTGATTATCACCGTGATTATACACCATATAAGAATCTTGTCCATCAACATCTTGTATAATACGCAAATGGTGTAAAATATGATTAATATTATCACAAATATGCATCAATCTAACTTCAGCACTTCGCGCTTTATTTTCTATTTTGTCAATTTGTGATAAACCCCAATTAATATATGAAGTCGCAAGAACAATACTGGATAAAGTGAGTTTGTTGTTAGGACTTCCTATTAATTGAATTATTTGACTTGTGATTTTTATACACATCCTTACATTGTCCATGAGCTTTTTGTTTAATTTAATATAAATATAAGTAGTGTAAGTACGTGCGATTTATAAATACATTTTTGGAATTATTATTAACTTGAATACCTCGGCAATTTTCGTGTCATCCACAGAAAATAATTGATCATACTTGTTTAATTCATTATTCATCATCGCTGAACAATGAAAAGCTAACCCGAATAACCATTGTTTAATCGCATAAATCCAAGTCTCTTCTATTGGAAATCCGAAGACTTTCCATGCTAACCCAGATTGTTGTAAAATCTCTCCATATAAAGATTTCTTAAATTCCAAAACTTCTTGAATTCGTTTCAAATCTGAACCAATGTTCTCACTTTTAGGGTATTCAGAATTCACAGTAGCTTTCATATCTTCAATTATCTCAACATATTGAACAATATTTTCTAAATTCCTTTCCAAAGTTTGCCATTGTGGAAAGATTTGCTATTAAAAAAATATATTATCAGATTTTGTTTATTATAAGATCAACAATTTCGACTAAAATGATCTGTCTGTATTAATTCATTTAATAACTATGAATCATTTGAGTTTAGCTGACTTACTATAAATGGTTTGCAATAATCACACCTTAGCCAATCAGCATTCAACAAGAATCTGTCAATTAAAACTTGGATATCATTATAATTGTTTGGAATCGAATTATGAAGTATATTGAGAGATGTTTCCACATCATGGCATCTCTCTTGAAATTGGGTTTGAAAATCCATCAATGGAATATTCTTTTTCTGAGCTTGTAATTTAATCCAATCAGTCATTGAAACATCCCAATAATTTTCATTACTAGAATGTGATAATATACGACGCAACATTTGCATCCTAGCAGGCTCATGAACTAATTTATCTCTCCCGCCTGATAAATCACTCATGAAATTATCGGTTATTTCCATATCAGAAGTGCTGCAGCTAGTTATAGCCGATTGTTTAATGCACTTGCCACCAAAAATTCGACGAGAACAATGTTTGTAATTACGATTAGATAAGCTTGATGAATTTATTGACGGGACAAATGTAAAGTCTAAAGAACTTTGCTGCGTGTTTGATGATTCTCCATCATTCAATTCATCTTCTGCAAAGGAAAGACATCTAGCTAGTTTCGAAGATAAAGAATTTGAAATCTTTTGTGCTTTGATTTTACGTTGATTATCCTCCTCACGTTTTCGTTTAAGAGGTGACAAGTTACCATAAGGAATTTCGAAGTTCTCTACCGGCATTGAATTTACTGTCAAAATTAAGACATTAAAAGAGAATTGAATATTTTATATGCTAAAGGAATGAATGGCAAATTTACATACAGTTTGTTCTTCTCTCGGCATTCTCGTCCACTTCAGTGCTACTCAACTTTAAAGGCATTCCGCTCTCATCTAATAAAATATTCTCTAATTTGTTAAAAAAAAAAATGTGTCAGATATTACGTATAAGGAATAATGAAACGAATAACTGAAAATTATACCGAGCGCAGTAAGCAAGGTGTTTATGGCATTCTCCCAAATTTTTTTGAAAGTAAGTGTTAAAACCGTGTTTTCCTTTTCAAACTTCATTGTAGAGATTTGTACCACAGGGTTTGCAACTTTAATAGAATCAGAATCAACAAAGGGTTTTTTAGTCATCGCCATCTTCGTCTTCCAAAAATATATCGTCGTCGTCTTGAAAATCAACTAAGACAACACAAGTAACAAACAAGCCGATGCTAACGGCAAAGATGAGTAAAAGAAATTGAGGCTGGAGAAGTTTTTTGCTTGCTTTTAAGTAAAGTTTTGGATACGAAGTACGCGGCACAGATGGTGGAGTGGAAAGCGACAGGACCATGACTATCGAGTCAGAGAAAATATTTTTGGATCCATGACTTTATATAGAAATATTTTTACGTAATTTTTGGGTAATATTGATGTCCTGCTTGCGCTTTATAAGATTATAAGATTTCAATTTTTCAAATTACCGGAAATTTATGCGGGGAATGTCATAGCATCAATTCCGAAATTACGTTACGCAAGCCACATTTGCCGCAGTTGCCAAACTTCATATAAGAAGGAAGACGGCTTCATTTATAATCACACTTTTATTGACCAGTGCTCTCTGTCACGTTATTCAAATAAAAGAAAATAATTCATAATTTTAAAGTTCAAAAAACCCATAACTTGCTTTTCTGAAAAGATCTGAAGAAAATTCAGAAGACTCTATATTATAATTTCTACAATGTCTGAACAACCAAATCCCACACCACCTGCTGGAGACGAAAAGAAAGATGAACACATTAATTTGAAAGTGGTTGGAAACGTAAGTTTTATGCTTTATTTGAGCAAAAAAGCGGAGAAAATATTGCGCGTCTAGAAACTGTGGGCGTTCTTTAATGGAGAACTAATACAAATAAATGCGCGTTTGATAAAACTTTATTAATTAAAACTTTTACAACGAATTTGAAAGGACGCGTTAGGTAATTAATTTTATTTATGTTTGCGTTCTTAGGATCACAATGAAGTGTTTTTCAAAATCAAGCGGACAACACAACTGAAAAAATTAATGGATGCTTATTGTGAAAGACAAGGAAAGTCGTTAAATTCACTCCGGTTCCTTTATGATGGTGAACGTGTACAAAGCCACAACACACCTGCAGAGGTAAATTTAAATCACTCAATTTGTCTTATTTCTATCACTTTATATTTCTTTTTTTTTTGATTAATTCTTTTAATAACAACAGCTTGAAATGGAAGATGGAGATGCAATTGACGTAATGGTGGAACAAATAGGTTAATAAAAGATTCAATTCTTTCATTTGTTCTTTTTATTTTTAATTAATATTGAATGAAATATTCTTTTTTCTTTCCTTTAGGTGGTCAAATTAGCTATATGTGAACCCTTTACATGTGATCTAACGATAAAAACTAGATCTTTTTCAATCTCACTTGTATTCATTTTTTTGTTACACAAGAAAAATTGAAACAAAAACTACTCATTTCGACCATTTGAAACAAATTTCGTTTATTGTTTATATTTTCAATTTTCCTTCTTGCTAGCTTTAAAGTGTTTTGTTACTTTTATCATCCATTTGGGCATTTTGTTTAGTTATAATTTTCAATGAAAAATTTCTAGATAATAGTCATAAATAATATAAGAAAATGAATGACAAATATTTCGGATGACTTGCATTTAATTGATTTTAAATTTAGATGTCCAATAAAATTTTCATTAAACCACATAAGTCTGATTTCTAATTGAGGATTTAAGTTTATTTTGAACAGAGAAAAGATGAAGATCTTAATGTAAACAAGGTTTTGGTTTGCAATTATAATATTTTATTTATTTATAAAAAAGTGAGGGTCAAATCTTTCATATAAATAGCCATAAAAATGAAGTGGTGATAAAGTTGCTTAAATATGGGCCATAAAAGCTGGATGTCGTTTTAGAGTAATTAAAATAATTCAAATTCTTTGATTTACATAGTTTCTTGTGAAATATCAATAGTAGAATTTGGAATGATCCATCTGAATATATATAAAGATCGTTACTTACATTCATTGCACAGTTTATCACAAAAACTAAGTAACTTGATTTGAGAATCTTTTACGAAATAAAATTCGAATTTTTCAAGGATATGATAAAGTTTAATCAAAAACATATTACAACTTTAGCAGCGTTTTCAATGGCAATTTTATTAGAAATATATGCTTAATATGGTATTTCAGTAATGATTAGGAGACAAAGAGGCTGGGTAGTTATAATGAAAGAAGATAATACAAATGGATCAGACAAATGAGAGAGATAAATTTGAAGTGAAGGATTAAAGCTAAAGGTGAATTAATTCTTTTAAACGACAAATTAGAACAATTTATGGGAAATTATGAGGACCTGGAAACAGGTGTGAATTCTGTTGGTAGAAGGAGTTAAGAAAATTATAAATCAGAAGTATTTTCTTCCTTTTAAGAATATTTTAAAAAATTAGATAAAATTAAGTAATAAATGCTTTAAAATCAACTGATCCGGAAATTATGTAGACAAACAAAGTGTCAAATTTAAAATTGAGGACTTACGGAATGCTTTGTTTTAAAATGGATGCCTTAGAACCAAGATTTAAAATTCGATAGTGGAAAAAACCTATATTTGTAAATTCTCACACTAAAATTAAAACTTATATTGACAACAGTAAAAAATAATGGGATAAATGAAACTGATGAAAAAAAAAAATGAGGAAGATTTCGATCACAACCTATTCTTATGATAGTACTAAATTGCCAAAGATGCTGCTAATTCAGATAAACAATGAAGTGAATCCATTAAAGAATCGAAAGTAGTCATCGGAACAATTTTAAACTTTGATTACGAATCCGGCGATGTTGTTAGGCATAAGTAAGAAAAGCCAAAACAGATGCCATGGTATTGATGATAAAAAGAATTAGTGGATGGCGAAGCTTGTAACCAGAAAGATATTACTAAATATCTTTACCAGAAAGAGAAAGGTCAAATCCTGATTCAAATTCAGGAAATACAGTCGCAGTTGGCACGGTAATTTTCTGATGTCGGCCGCGGCACGTGAAGACGTGAAGCACATTTGCCTAATACGACAACATTCTCTATACAATAAACATTGAAGTACTTTTGCAAAAAATAAAAACTGTTCTAAATCATTTCAATTATTTTAAGATTTTAAGAATATTTACAATTTAATATTTGTATATTTTAATATAAATTTTAAAATTATATAATATAAAAAAATATAAAAAATATAAATTTTACTTTATTAATTACATTACATTTGAAAAATAAATTAATTTTAATAAAGTTAATTCTTCTTATAATGAATTTTGATATAATGAATTTTATAATATAATAGATCTTTAGTATGATACAGATTTTAATATAAAAAAAATTTCATTATACTGAATTTTACTAATTAAATGATGTATATTATTTAATGAAATAAATTTTATAAACTGTATATAAAAATTAATCCTTTTAATAATAAATTTTCTTTTATAATAACTTTTTTTTAATATAACAAAGATATTTTGTATAACTTATGTTTTACATTATATAAATACAATTATTTATTATTATATAACAATATAGTTTTTCTTATTATATTTATAATGAATATTTCTATATTTTATAATAAAGACTTAATTAAATATTCTACACCTAACAGTATTTATATATAAGAGGGTTTTGGCAAGTTGGTAAAATGCTAGAATAGTGAAACTTTGCCAAAACCATATAAAAATCTTATTAAAAAGTTAGAAGAAAAGCAAAACCTAATAAACTTATTGTAAATACTGAAACTGCTAAAATCTTGCTGAAACTATAATAAAATTATAGTAAAATCTTAAAGAAACTAATTGTAAGATTTTGGAAAGGTTTAGACAAGCAACCTTATTTACATATAGTTAGCTTTTAGTTAAAAAGAACTTTAATTAAAAATACATTAATCAAATTTTTAGGCAATATAATCACATAGGTAATATATCAACTTTTTTTTTAAAAAAAAATAGTTATATCTTATCATGCTTATTTTTAGATTTTACTATCTCTGAGTTGCTGACATTAAATTAAATGATTATCATCTTTATTTTCTTTAAGATATATCCTACACTTTACATTTCCATATAGATCATACCTTCTTTCTTTTATAATCTCTACCCTATAAAAAGTATTATACTTAAAGTATATTTAAAATATATTTAAAATATATTTAAAATATACTAGTAAGCGTGATTATAATAGGACATGATCGCATCTATAATAAAGTTTTAAAAAAAAAAAAAAAAAAAATATTTAAAATATACTTAATTGACGATCTGCAAGTCAACTAGAGAAATTACATATAAAATTTAATGCAAATCATATACTAATTTGTCGTATTACGCCGACTTTAATGATTTCTGATGTAACAAAAACTATAAGTATAGTTTACTAAAAATAACACAAACAATAAAGTAAATGTCACACTTTTATTTTTCAAAGCTACAAAGTGTAAAACTTTTTTTTGATGAAGTTTACCTTGGAAGCACGTAGCATTTACTATGTTATTAGGTAAACTAAGGTTTTAAAAGTACAAATTATGGAAATTTTTTTATATTTCACCAAACTTTCATGTATATTGCTTTATTTTTGATATATTTTATTAGTAAACTATGCTATAATAACTTCTAACTCGAAAAATTCAAGACTTTTTTACACTCATTATACAAGTGATATGGTATGATAAAACTAGTTTTTATCTTTCGAATCTCAGATCTCTTAGAAATTGAACTTTTTTCCAATGTTACATTATGGTTTTTTTTGCATGAAATTGGTGGGAAACCTGTGGAAAACTATTTCATTAAAGCAAAATGGCATTATTTAAACATTTGGCTAGAGAAATTCATAAACAACCCCACATTCAGAAATGCGGCTTTTAATTAATAAATTTCTGTTAAATTTTATTATCGTTTTCATTACTTGACTCATGGATCACCAATTAATTTAAAAAGTGCAAAATACTTATAATATATTTTTAATATATCTAAAATATACTTAAAATTATCTTAAAATATATTATAAGTATATTTTAGATACATAAAAAATATACTTATAATAGTCTTATAATATACTTAAATTTTAATTTAAATATAATTTAAATATATTTTAAGTATATGGACAAAAATTAAATATATTAGAAATATATTTTAAGATAATTTTAAATATATTTTAAGTATATTATAAGTATTTCACAATTTTTAAATTAAATATATTTTAAAAAGTTTTTAATTATATTTTAAATATAAATACTTTTTATAGAGCAACATATGGATCTGTTCAAGTATTTTTTCTGTATTTGTTTATTTATGGTAATTTTGATATGTCAATAGCAATGACAACAACTCCAGCATAAAGTTGAATAAATCCAGCTGAAAAAATAATATCAATTTTAAATTTTGGTTTACAAGGTATGGTTCTCCTTAGAGATTAGATAAATAGTGAAATGGAAGATTTATTTTCTAGAAAAAATATACTAGAAGAAATTCGTTTAGTTGCTAAAAACAATTCACAATTAGAAAGTGAACTTAGAAATTCAATTAAATTTATTCAACAGCTTCTAAATAAATGAACAGAAAGATTGGTATTAGATAATAAAAATTTTATATGTAAAAGTCTTGCGGATAATGAAGAAATTGCACAATTTTTTAAAGTAATTTCAGAATTAAATAATTTTTTTGTTGAACTCAAATAGCTTATTATAATCTTTTATTATAGACAATTATTTCAATTAATTTAACTTTACGTTGTGATGAGACTATATATACAATCAATACTTCAGCAACATTCTGATTTATAAAACTTTATTTAAACATATTGCCAAATTCATTTTAAGTATGTATTTATAGTTCAAAATTTACAATAATTGATTTTAGTTTTAATTAATATTAATTCATTAAAATTCATTAACTTGAGTAGCATACTAAAATACATTGTTTTAGTAAATAAAAAAATGTAGCAATATTGAATGTGAAATTTGGATTATGTTATGAATACTACAAGAAGTTTTTGAATCTCTTGATTTTCTTCTAGACCCAACACTGGCAAGTACAATTCAATTTGATTTCAATATTACCAAATCAGAATATTAAACTAATAATATATATAGTAGCTTACCCTATGAAAAGTCTTTATACTTAAAATATATTTAAAATTTTATTAAAATATACTTATTATAAGTATCAATTTTAATTCACGATATACTTATAATATACCTAAATATACTTAAAATACTCTTATAATATACTTTTAATGTACTTGTTTTTTTCCCAAGTACTTAAATTATACTTAAATTGAATTTTAAGCACATTTTAAGAATATTTAAGCATGTAAAAAATATACTTATATTGTACTTAAATTCTAGTTTAAGTATATTTTAAATATAATTTACTTGTGCAAATAACAAAAATATTAAAACTATATTTTAAGAGTATTTTAGGCATATTTTAGGTATATTATAAGTATATCGCAAATTAAAATTAATACTTCATCAGGAAATTTTATAGTGCAAAAAATTGCGTAAGTTTACGATTTTGTAAATTTACGAAAGTTTATGGCATAATATTTTGAAAAATTTCAAAATATTACGTAAGTTTACAATTTCGTAAGATTTATGTGATATTACGGTTAAAATATTACACAAGTTTTCAATATCGTAAGATTTACGCAATATTACAGTCAAAATATTCTGCAAATTTATGAAACTGTAAACCTGTGTAATATTACGGTTGAAATATTTCAAAAATTTACGAAATTGTAAACCTGCGTAATATTACAGTTAAAATATTTCAAAAATTTATGAGACTGTAAACCTGCGTAATATTACGGTTAAAATATTTTGAAAATTTACGAGACTGTAAACCTGCGTAATATTATGGTTAAAATATTTTGAAAATTTACGAGATTATAAATCTGTATAATATTACTATTCGATCGTTAAAACTGCATATGCAGTAGAACGTATACAAGAGGCATGTAATACTATTGAATAATCAAAAATAATATAAACACCTTTTTTTTTAAGTTTGGGAAAGCAAATTTATTTTTATTTACGAATTTTTTATTATTTACAATTTTTATGTTAAAAATTAAAGTAAATTCTAATTTTTATTATAACTTAATAAAAAAATACACATTTGATACTTGTTCGCTACTATTTTATAAAATAGTATCTAGGCTGTATGACATGGACGTCAGTATCAGTCACAGCCCAAAAAAAACGTAAGTCTCCAACCGATATTTAGTACAGACTGGGCCTAGCTACTCACTTAATAAATAATAAAAAATAAAAATAATTATCTTCTACGATACGTAGATAAGTTTCTCCTTACCCTACGATCATCACGTGTGACTAAAATTGATCAAATTTATCAAATTTAAAACATGAACGTAAATATTAATTATAAATTTTATTATAGTATAATTACCCGGCCTCTCCCAAAATTTCGTTCTAAATTCACGATAATATCTTTAGCCGGTACGCATCCACAGCCACCGCCTAGGGTTACCATTATGATAAAGAACATAGTTCTAAATATCAAAATCAGTTTGAATATTCAATAAATACATTTAATTTATATGAATGTAATTTTATTTATTTACTTATATAGTAATCCCTGACGAGGTTCCTCCACTTTTGGCTGTACTGTTGCCTAGAAACTCTCATTCGAAATATTCTATTTATTCTGATTCAATTAAATGGATTGGTTAATTTGAATTTAAATTCTTTCTTAAAGAAATTATAGATATTAGTCATATGAACCTATTGGCAACAGAGTCCCAAAAATCATGGTGGCTTCTACCATTAATATTGTGGTAGGCACAGTTTCTGTCTCGACGTATGTCAACAAGTTCGTCCATCATAGCCCAATTCCAATGAACATTATAGTGGGAATGACATGAACGTGTGTGGCGAGGCATTATTAAATTAGATTTGATTTTTATAATTTGATTTTGGGATGAATGAAAATTTAAGTAGAAAGAAAGTCGTAAAATGTCACTTTAAATAAAATTTGAACAATACCTCTTTGGTTTGATTTTATTTCTCGTTTTAATTAAAATTTAATTTATTACACTTTTCACCATTAAACATATTAATTAAATCTCATGCGGATATGGATTATCTAAATATAAATATCATAATTAAATCAAAAAATAAAAAAAATCTTAGTTTGATTTCAGTTTAAAATAATTGAAAATCATGTACATGTTTAATTGTTTTAAATATAAATATCAATATATCATATTTAAAAATAGGGTTTAATTTTTATACGCTCCCGCGTTGCAACGCACCCTCTGATCACGTGATTTCATAAGGTTGATAGCCGATAAATTTTTAGGCAGATAGTATACAACTATACATACTAAACGCTAACACAGATAATGTGTTAATGGCGTCATTATGAGTTCTCTTTTTACACACTAAACGCTAAAACTATTTTTAGACAGACAATAAGTGTTAATAGAGTCATTATTAGTTCTCTTTTTACACACTAAGCGCTAAAACTCTTTTTAGACATACAGTGAGTGTTAATGGAGTACATACTAATCGCTAACACTTTGGTTTGTTTTTCAGTTTCTTGTGGGCGTATTCCTGGATTTAGTAAGTGTTGGTGGTAGTATGCGAATACGCGTTTCTTTTTACACATTTAATGTTAATGTAGACTCTTGAACCTAGTAAGTGTTGGTGATTGTCATGCGTTTTCTTTTACATATTTAACATTTCTTTTTTGTAGACTAGGAAGTTGAGTGGTAAATTTTCGATTAGTTTCAGTGCTGTTTCTAACCATTTTTTACGGCTAAACAGTGATCTTTCTTCTATGATATATCATGCAATTCTTGAGTTCGTATCATCAATATGGTAAGGGTTCTGTAATAACATAAATTTTCATCATCTATCATAAGTTCTAACATAAATCTTTGCCGTGAATTTTGTAGTCCTGGGATGTTACGCATTTTTTTATACATCATCTTTTTATCTAGGTAAGTGTATCAGAAAAGTTATTTGCATCTGTAATATAAATAAGAAATCGGTTGTAACTGATTAGATACAATTATCTAAAAAGAAACTTTTGATGTATTTTTATGCTTTCTTTTCTAAACTTTTATAAAACTTTTTTTTGCATTAGTTTTTTATTGTTTATTAAAGATTGATTCATTTATTTTCACGTACATTTATCAAAAGACTAGCAACTAATATAAAATTACTGAGTTATTTTTGATTTTGTGTACACGTGCTTGAATAATGTCCGGCTTGTCTACAAATTTTGCAATGCCGTTGACTCTTGTTAGATTTTGGAGGCTCCATGGCACTTTTAATTCTTGTTGTTCCTTTTGGTCTACCTTTTCTAGGTTTCTTAATTGGATTTTGAAGCTGCAAGCTATTTTCATTAGCTTCATCATCGGTATCTATTTCACTATTAAGCTCATCCTCAAAATCATTAAGTTCATCAAGATAGCGTTGAAAAATCTCAAAAATTCGCTCATCCTTTTTTTCAACCGCCTTAAGAGTAACTTTTTTAGCCATTCCCATCACTTTTCCAAAGAAAAGTTTTTCATCTAAAGTAGATTTACTTATCTGCTCCCATTTATCAACATTGTTTTGTATTAAAGCCGTTAGATAAAAAATTTCTTGATTTATTTCTGGTTGCTTTAACAATTCAGTGTCCTGAAATTTAGCTGCAAATACGAAAGGTTCATGTTTTCCATCCAAGTCTCGATTTTTATACCAACGTGGTCTAATAAGTTGAATGTGAAACATTGCTGTATGTGTATGCATCATAAGACTAAAATAATGTCGGCAAACAATTTCCCTTGTAACTGTTGCTAAACATGAACATAAATGGGCCGAATTGTTCATTAAAAGGATAAAATGTTTGAATTTTTGGGTATTTTGAACTGAAATACCCCAAATTTCTTTAATTTCTCTTTGGTTAACATGATAAAAAATTGATTTGATACATGCTTTACGCTCATCAGGTAAATCTTCCAAAAAACCTGTATCAATCACTTCAGAAATCTTAAATAATTTAAAATTTTGTTAATCATTGCTGCATTTCGCTTACTATTCTTACTATTACTACCCTTCTATAAAAAATTATTAACATACCTGTTCAAACATGTCAATTTGGTTTAATTCAAATTGTTCACACTTGTAATAAACACTTTGATTGATTTCTTGAACTTGAAGATTATATAATGGAGTTGTTAAGTATTTTTTTATTAATGCTTCGATTGCAGTAAAAAGGAAACTTGCTGTTTGTAAGTCAACTACACAAGGAATGACTGTTTTCCAAAAAGCAAATTCCTTTTGTTTTTCTTCTTCTTTATGATGACGATGTATTACTTCAGCAAGTTGCAATAGAGAGGTGTTGGAATTAAGAATTTCACGTTTTAAAACTGCATTCATGCCTTCTACACGTGAAGTAGATTGTACTGCCGCGTTGAAAATTGTTGAAGTAAAACAAAGTGCCCAATATGTTTTAGTCTTATACAAATTTCTCAAATATTCAGCAGCTTGTTCATATTTTTCAATCAATATGGTAAATAACTGTTCAAATTTTTCTTGACTTAAGCTATTTCTAGCATTATAAAACTCGCTCAAAAATTTTGAATATTTATTGCCCAACAATTTTGAAAACTTTTTATGAAGGTTTTGACTGATATGAAATATACAATGCATTGTGTAACAATTCTGGTAAATTTTAATACATGCTGCATCTACCGCCTGATCTGCATCTGTCATAAAAACCAAAGGAACTAACCCTCCACTTATAGTTTCATTTGACTGTTTTTTACCACCTGTTGCAAGTAGTGTACACTCAAAAATCCAAGCATGGGCTTCTGCTGTTTCGTCATCAATAAGCGCTTGACATACTAATCGTGAATTATTGTGATTATCAATAGTGACAAATAATGATAACGCCATATCGTATCTATTTGTTTTACAAGTAACATCGTTAATAATAACGTCATGATATTGAATCCACAGCTCCACTTGATTAGGAGACATCCAAAGCAATCTCCTTAAAACCTTTGTTTTATCAAAATTGACAAAAATTTGCCATCTAATATCATCTTCTTTTAATTTAAGAAGATGTTCATAGAGATTTAACGCATCTCTATTTAACTCTTTTGCTGATGGCCGGTATTTTTGTATTTCATAACGAAGGATATCAGATTGAATTTTTCGCTCAGGATACTTTTTTTCAAGATATACTCTTTGCTGTGTTATAGTAAGACGAACTTGTAATGTTAAAAACTTAATATCCTCTATCATTTCTCTCGTTAATGCTGTCTCTTTTGTGTAATTTATAAGTTGAGAATTAAGTTCATGACAATGTTCATTTACAATTGTTGTAACAAATACATATTGATTGACATTATTTTTTTCCGGTCTTGATAGGTTGATATGAGCTTTACAACCTAATCGAATAGTTTTACTAACTTTTGCTATCGTCTTATGATTTTCTTTAATATTATTGTTCAAAGATAATTCAGCTAACGGCTTTTTATATTTACCAGAGTGTTGACAAACAATAGCTAATTTCCTATATTCACCTGCTGGCATATTATTGTTACGATCAGATCTATCTAATCGTGATTGAAACCCTTGAATATTACACCATTCTGAAACGTAAGCTATAGCAGATTGCCATGAAATATAATGCTGTCCAACATAAAGCTCGGATTGTTGAGAATTACTAGTTAAAGTTTCTATTGCTTCAATAATACTTTTTTCTTGTGAAACCGCCATTTTATACTAAAAAAGGAAAGTTCGTTCCTAAATATAAAACAAAAAAGGTAAGTTTGTCTTTAACTATAAAACAAAAAAGGCAAGTTTACCAAAAAAGCTATGATATGTTATTTTATTCTATCGCTATACAATTTCTTTATTGTAAACGTACTAAACAAAGAAACAAAACAAATATAGAAAGATTTACCTGCTGTAGTAAAATAAAAGAAGAAAGCTTCACCAAGTTGTAAAACAAAAAAAGTAAAAAGATTTACTAGTAATGAAACAAAAAAAGAGAGCTTTTGCCAACTGTAAAACAAAAAAAGAAAGAGTTTTTTTGATTACAAAAACAAAAAAGGAAGGTTCGCGTAAAAAATTTACGAGAATAATAAAAAAATCTTGGCATATCATTATTGGTGTATATGTACAGCCAATCAAAATTTAATTATTATCACGTGATTTAATAGGATGCGTTGCTACGCAGGGGCGTAAAATTATTATTTCCTTAAAAATAAAACAATTATATTCTGATTAAATATTTTGCGTACATTTCTTAAAAAAATCATAAAAAAAATCTTGTACATCATACATGCAATTACTAAATACCATCTCCTTGTGATAAATAAAAAATTACGCAACACAAATTCAACACAAATTTAACAAATTTAACGAAATTTGGTCAAAATTAATAATTTTTTACCAGAATTATCAACACAAATTGAACACAAATTGAACACAAATTTCAGTCATGATTTATTTATGTCACGTCCGCTGTATGATATACATGATTTTTTAAAATGCGGATTTCTGTAATTTTACGATATCATATTTTCTGGCCAATCAAAATTAGGCTGATCCTTGCATGTGATTTAATCATTTAATCATGCACGCGTTTTTGTCTTATTTATTTTTGTCTCTTATTTCTTTATTCTTTTGTTCAATATTTTTATTTTTTTGTCTCTTCTTTCTATTATTTCTTTAATTATATATAATATATTTACATATATTTCATAATTTATTGCTTTACATATCAGGAAGTTACAAAAAAATGTACATTACATATACATTTATGCAAATCATGTACATAGGACCCCAGACATCACATATATAACTTACATTTGAGTTTTAGCAAATTCAATCAAAATTAGGTTAAACTCATAATTTTAGAAAAAGCAAATTGATTGAAAATTAATTAATAGTCATAATTATGAGTTTTAGCAAATTGTATTGATTTTACAATGTCATATTTTATATTTGAGCAAATTGGTACTTTTTTTTAAATTTAACTTATTCTTTGTTTTTAACTTTATAAATAATATTTTTAAAAATATTAGTTTCGGGGTTTGTGTCATATTTTGGCCAAAATTAAGTATAATTCCGGCTAAAATTAAGCATAATGTGAGCCAAAAACTGTCCGTTTAGTTTCGCAATATTTTATTTTTTAATATTATTTATTTAATTTATTATTTTTATTAATTATTATTTTATTTATAATTTACATATTTTAATTATAAAAATTGGCAGTTTAATTTATATTAATCATTTATTTTTTTATTGATAATAAAAAAAAAGATTATTAACTTATCAATCACTGCGCATTTAATAAAATTTAAGGGCAAATTTTTCTTATTATGATAGCCATATTAAAAATTATGGTGCCGTATAGTTATTAATTATATAATTTATGTATGTAGATCAAAATCGGCTAAAATAAATTTTATTGGTTAAAATTGATGATTTTCGAATCCATAATTCTGGCCAAATTTTGCTTAATTCCGGCCAATTTTATAATGCCGGCCTAAATTTTATAAAAATTGAAAAATGCAGTTCAAATGTAACATTACATTTATATAAAAT